CCCCTGGGTAGCTCTTTTTTGTGGGGGAGGGGAACCTCATTAAGTCCTCTTTCCAAATAGGAAAAATGATCTCTTAGGCATAGTGGTGCATGCTTGGTAATGCCAGGACTCTAGGAAAGGGAGACAGATTGAGAATTCATGACCAGCCTGGCCAGTTTAGCAATTTAGTGGAACATTGTCTTAAAAAAAAAAAAAAAAAAAAAAAAAAAAAAAAAGGACTGAGACTGTAACTCAGTGTGAAGGCCCTGGATTCAATCCCCAGGACCACAGAAATGGAACGGGGATGGGGGTGGGGGAGATCATTTAATGAAAAATTGAATAAACACAACTCATAAGGACCCAGCAAGAAAAAAAGTCTTTGGACAATTCCTCTGGGAACATCATTTCCATCGAACCTCTTAAAAATGAGTAAATGTATTCACTCTTTTTTTTTTTGTTATTCTTTTAAAATGAAAACAAAATGTTTGCAATTATTTCTGTGCCTCTGTAAACTCAAATTTCCCCAACTTTTAGTTTCTCAGCTCTCTAGTTCTAGTTCTAGTTCTAGTTCTAGTTCTAGTTCTAGTATTTCTCCTGTTTAAAATAAATCTCCCCTTTCTAGCCACTCACACAAATCAATGGTTTCATTGATTATGTGAGATCACTCAGGGTCCACCACAAGTTGGTAATTGAAGCTAGAAGTATTTAAATGCACGATGAACCCTGAGTGTCACCAGAACTTCATGCTCAAAGGAGCCCTTATGCAAAATGCAATTTTTTGCTGATTATGTTCTTGTGTTGGCAAGAACTTGGCTTTTTCCCCTCACTGAACTTCAAACAGTATTTATAGCATCCCCAGCAGGCAAAGGAAGACTCACAAAACCCAGCTCACTACCTGTCCTCTGTCATTTGGATGATGGAAGGTGATGAGTGGTATGGATGTCACCAGGGTACCATTGGGTACCTCTTTTCTTCCTTTGTAACACTGGATCCCAATCAAGGGATTTTTCTCAAACCTGGTGCCCTGAGCTAAACTTGCTCGGTTTAAAGAAAGCGTATGAAAGATTGGGGGCTTGAACAACTCTCTCTAGGTGTGAGAGGGCCCCAAACGCAGCACCCCAAGTTGGTTGGTAACTCTGATCAAGCTCTGAACTGTTTTCGCTGGAGACCTCTCATGAGATGTGTCAAGGCTTCCCCCTGCTCAATTGGCTGTTGGTTTTCCTTCCCTCTCCCCCACGGCCAGTTCTACTGCAAAGGACAAACTTTGCTGAAAACCTCATTTAGGGAATTGTGCTTCTTAGAAATTGATTTGTCTTAATGATAGAGAATGGCAGGAACCACTGTTTTATTTAGACAGGACCGCAGGAACACACACGCCTTCTAATGGCATTGCCTACAGTCACTGACGGGTTTTAGGAGAGTTTGGAGGGTTGAGATACGCTCCACGCTTAAAAGGGCTGGTGGTTAAATTTTTCATGAAGCTGTCACCACTCATTTCTGTATGGTGTATGATTCTCCAGCTTTTGAGGGCTGGTCTTTTCTTTATTAAGTGTTTAATTTCTAGGACTCTTTCTGAAGTAGTTGTGCAATGCAGAACACACAATTTACTGTCTCCACCGAGCTTAAGTGCACAGTTTGGTGTCACTGGTATTAATGGGTACGCTTGCATTAGTCAGCATCTATCTACAGAACTCTCCTTCATCTTGCAAAGCTAGACCTCTGAACCCCGATCCACAGTGCTCCATTCATTTTGCCCCAGCCCCTGGTAACATCCTTTTCCTTTCTTCTAAAGAAAGAAGTTCCCTGAAGTATTTCCTTAGTCCATAAAATAGGGATGGAAGTTGGGCAGTGAAGGGGTCACCAAGGTGGAGATGGGGAGGCTGATTTTGGGGAAATAGACTGGAAGCCTGCCGGGCACTGAGAGCCAGGGGTGGGCGCAGGAGACATGCCCTGTCCTTGGTGATGCAGGCTGGCTCCGCAGTGGTGACACCCGGAGGCCAAACATCGTCCTTTTATACTGGGTAAAGTCTATAAACGCTCTTCATTTCCCCTGAGCTCTGCCTACAAAGCAAAAGCACAGATGGAGTCAAGGAATCAGCAGTTTATCAAAGTTTGCCGGGCACTTTGGAGGACAAAGAAACGATGCCAAAAGAATCATGCCTTTTTTTTTTTTAACCTTGTTTGTAATCCTTTAGGGAAAATTTGTAATGAAAAAATAGAATATGAAGTATAATATTTTTAGGCTAGGTCTAAAACATTATATTTGAATATTAGGGTAATGTATTATGGAAGGGTTGTTTTGAGGAAACTTTCTATTAAAGTATGAGATATACACAGAAAAGTGCACATGGTGATGGTGTTTGGCCAACTGAACACACCCAGGTCAGGCACTTTCATCACCAGCTCTTTGATCAAGACCCAGAAAACCCACTTTGCATCTTTCTATTCTCCCCCATCAATATTTCCACCAAACAGCTGTTGTCCCGGCATCTGACAGTGTGGATTTGTTTTTGCCTGTGTTTGTATTTTATATAAATACAAACCTATACCACACATGGGATTTAGTCTAAAGTGTTATGAATATTTTTAAAAAAACTTACTACAGTAAAAGATTGTCATGAATCTTCCTTAAAATACTCTCCCTCACTTAGAGCATACTTGTCCCATATTCTTGCCACTTTCTGAAGCACTTCCTCTTTAGTGAGTGTTGTTGGTTGCAGTGTCCTGGCTATCCTAATGTCTTGAATAGATTTAAAATACTTACTTTCATGGTCATTTTGACTTTGAGGAAGAAGTCACCTGGTCTGGTGAATAAGGTGGATAAGGACACACTGCAGTGTTTTTATTTGTTAGAAATTACTGTAAGTGTTTTAAATCAATTCACAACATTGAGGAAGCCATGAAAAGACTTCAGAAAAGAGGCTTCCCAGAACTGTTCCAGAAAGTGGCCAGAATGATGGCTTCAGTGTGTTTGAAGTGAGGATGAGTATGGGGGGAGCAGTTCATGGTAATGCGTCTTTCACTGTGATAATTTCTTTGTTTTTAATTTGAATATTCGCTGTGTTGCCTGATCACTCCTCATAGCTACTCTTGAATGGTACGCTCCTTTCCTGCTCCTAATGCTGCTATATGTAGGAATAGGGGCTGCTTTCTCACTGCAATATTGTATCCTGTTGAGTGATTCTGCCACATAGTTCGCTGTTCTTCTGCTGGGCATCTAGAGAATTCCCAGTTTTGCGCATTGCAGATTATGGCAGTGTGCCCATTCAGTTACGTTGATTCTGATGAGAGTTTGTTGAGTATGTATCCTGAGTGTGTTCATTGGGTCCCAGCTATGCATGTATTCAACGTTAGTAGGCTGTGCCTAGCAGCTTTGCAAAGCAGTGAACCTGTTTACGGTCAGAAACCAACAGTACCTAAGAGTGCTGGTTGCTCCAAATATTTGCCAGTACTGAAAGTTTTGAGTTGTTTTTCTTTTTTAAAAAATAATCCTTATTTGATTGTTTTTTCCATTGGAGGTGGTTCTCTCCCTAATAGCAAAGGCAGTGAAAAACAATCCCACCTAACAAAATGCTTGCTCATGCTGAAGCATTCCAAAGATCAAGACAGTGTGTGTTGTCCTGGACAGGAGTAAGCTTGGTGGTTTGACGTTATGTTGGGAGATCTTGAACTCTCACATGCTTTTCTTGTGTAATGTCTGAGCCATATGTAGAAAAAAATGTTCCAGATAATGACCTTTACAGAGGAACAAATATTCTAAAAATTCAAATAAATTCAAGAGTGAAAGAGGGTTCTCATGTATAGATGTGTGTTACCTTTTCTCCCCCAAACTCCTTAGCCTCCCAGAGTTAACCATGAATTGCACTGTCTTTATCCTCTGTCCTCTACACAGTCCTCGAAAAGTGATTTGGTATGCTTTGTCCCCTGACTCTTCTGCTGCCTCTTTATGAGAATGTCCAGATGATTGAAATTGTCTTTATGCACCAGCGGATACTCTTTTTATAAAAGTAACAACTGCTGAATTGTTTAGGTTTATCCAGTGTGAGGTCTTTATTGGCTGACACCATCGTTAATATTTGATGCTGTTTCTTTGATAGAAACGAAGCTCCTGAGATTGAGAAATAACACAGGTAACTATAGTGGTCCCTCGATTAAAATTTTAGCTGCCAGCCAACATGGAATAATGTGTTGTGGGGCTGTGTGAGCAGAACTGTGTCCACAAGCCCTCATTCCAGGGCAATATGTAAAAGAAAAAGAAATCAAGACTTTTGTGCATGGAAACATAACAGTAGTTTTAAGTGCTGTCTAGGCTGAATAGGCCTTTTTTGGTTAGGTGAGCTAACTTCTGAGCCTTTATTAAACTTCCTAGATTCAAGGAAATCCCTGCAAAAGTCTGTCTCCACTCAGTAACTGAGTTCCCAAGATTCATTAATAGCAAGTTACTGCACGTGCTGATCCTTTTAGAGGATCTTTGACTTGTACCAGCCTCATCTACAGGTCACCTGTCTGTTGGTGGCTGTCACCCAACATCATCTTTGCCATTCTAATAGGCCGTTCAGTCCTAGCCCGAGGAGCACAGCAGGAGAACTGCTGCTCAGGGATACTGCCAGGAGGGTCCCCAAAGGCAGTATCACCATGGATTGTTCTGCACTTCCCCCATCCCTAGTTTTGTCATTGCTGATTAACACTAGCATAGGACGTTTGGATAGGCATTGCAGTTCCGGGCAGTAATGTCCCTCTGTCCCCAGCCACACCATGTGATTGACCATGCCTCCTTGGAAACTGCATTTTACTTCACCACAGCCGTGTTGGCTGTAAACCCAGCTGTCCGTGTAGACATAAAAGATACACAAGTGAGTCCTGCTAAGGACGCTGGGTGAAGGGAGGCAGGGATCTGATGTGAGACTTCTGGATTCCTCAAAAGAAGGAGGTCAGGCGAGCCTTACCCAGAGTGTCTTTGCTGGAAGTGCCCTGCTTGTTTCTAAGCCGCGGCCTTTTCTTCTTCCACCTCCCGTGTGCAGACCACCAGCCAGACTGAGCTGGAGAACTGGATCACCGCCATTCACTCTGCCTGTGCAGCTGCCGTTGCGAGACACCACCACAAAGAGGACACGCTCCGGCTCCTGAGGTCGGAGATCAAAAAGCTGGAACAGAAGATCGACATGGATGAAAAGATGAAGAAAATGGGCGAAATGCAGCTGTCCTCCGTCACCGACTCAAAGAAGAAGAAAACTATATTAGACCAGGTAATCGGGCTTCTATGTTTAGACCCCAGCAAACTTGTTAGGGCTTCACATGATTTTTTTTTTATGTCATCTGTTATCTCCCCATCAACCTGTCAGCCAGGCTGCTCAATTTTTTATTGTGACTGTCAGGTTCCTTCACCCTTTGTTCACAGTTGATTGTTAGGAGCTAAAGAGAACAAGATAACATTGAGTGGAAGACAGAAGTCTAATAGGAGCCTTCCTGCTTCCACCAATGGGGCGCTATTCTGGGGATCTGCGTAATTAGGAAGTCTGCAGTTTTGTTCCCCAGATGTGGCTGCCCAGATCTCCTCCAGGACATTTGTGATTGGAGAGCACAGTTGACCCGAGCTCAGCTCTGCGGGGATTCATTCGTGACTCCAGCAAATTTAAAAGGCTAAATTTAGGAAAGGTGAAGTGTGGTTTTTAAAAATATACATGGCCATCCCTTAGCTATCCATGTGGGGTTGGTTCCAGACCCCCATGGATACCAAGTCAAAGGCTGCTTATATAAAATCTCTTATGTAAAACAGTGTCGTGTTTGCATGTGACCTACACATCTTCCCATGTACTTGAAATCTTGATACTACTTTAATTGTCTCATACAATGTAAATATTATGTAGAAAATTTTTTAGCAAAATGTTTAGAGGATAATGAGAAAAATGTCTGTACATGTTGAATGTAGATGCAATACTTTGGTTTTTACTAGCTTTCTCTCTCTCTCTCTCTCTCTCTCTCTCTCTCTCTCTCTCTCTCCCTCCCTCCCTCTCTCCTTCCTTCCCTCCCTCCTTCCCTCCCTCCCTTCCTTCCTTCCTTCCTTCCTTCCTTCCTTCCTTCCTTGGCACTGGGGATTGAACTCATGATCTCAGGCTTGCAAGGCAGAATCTTATGGCACTGAGCTAAAAATCCCTGGCCCTAGTGTTCATTTATTTTAAAGTCACCTGATAATTGCTTTAAAGTTTTGTTCTAATGCTTATGAAGTAATTGTGTAGAGAAATGACATTTAAATAATTGAAGGGCTAATGACATGGGCCACTGTGACCTTTGACCTCTTCTCCCCCTCCCCCCACCCCATGACGGTATGCTATATTGTTTTAGGCAAAATTCACACAATTTAAAACCATTTTGAAGTGATCAGTTCAGTAGGAATCAGTACCTTCACAATGCCCTTCATCCTTCACCTTCTCCCAGTTCCAAGATATTTCCATCTACCACCAGAAGAAATCCTGTAGCTGCTAAGTGTTTGCTTCCAGGCCCCCGGCATTCTGTCTTTACAGATTTGCCTGTGTGAGTTACTTCCTATGGATGGCATTGCATGGTCTGTGCCTTTTGTGTTTGGCTCCTTTCACTTAGCATTTTGAAGCGCATGTTAGTGCGTACTTCATGCCTGTTTTTTGACTGGCGTTATTACTTTTTGCATACAAACCGCAATGTATTTGTCCATCTGTCCACTGATGGGGCGTTTGAGCTTTTGACTGTTTGAGTAACCATGCTGGGAACATGAGTGTATGGCAGTGCTGTACTTCAGTCCGGGTTAAAAGGTAGAGTTTGAGCATTAGTCACTAACTGTACCGTTATTAATGCCGTGGAGCCTTCACTCCGTCCCAGGCCCTGGGCCTATTTTTGCGTTACCTTACTTAATCATCACATCAGCCGGCAGGTGTTGCTTTCCTTCTAATAAGGGAATGGGATATCATGGAGACGCGCTGTGTTTAGAACTCTGTTCCAGGGTCTGGATCTCTCCCATCTTTTGTTTTCCCTGTGAGCCATCTGGTGTTGTGCTCCTCATCTCTCCTGTGAAGTTCCTGATCTGTTTGCTTTCAGTTCTCGCCACTTTCCTTCTCTTTATACAGAGCTTCCTGTTAGGGAGCCATGCCTATTCTCTGGTACTGCAAACCCTACCTAGATCTCAGCTGCAGGGTCGCCCCACCTTCCCATGTGACTCCTACACCCGTGGAGCACAGTCACTGGTCACATGCTTTCTGTTTTTATACTGAATTTGTGGCTACAGGAGTTTGCAGAAAAGGTGCACATAGCTAAGAAACTTAGAGTACCTATGGTTTACTTTACATTGTAACAGAGATTTGTAAGGTTTGTGCAGGGTAAAGTCATTAACGTTTATTTTCTTTTTCTCCCCTTTTCTCATATTTTTGATTACTGTAGATCTTTGTCTGGGAGCAAAATCTCGAACAGTTCCAAATGGACCTATTCCGGTTCCGCTGTTACTTAGCCAGTCTCCAGGGTGGGGAGTTGCCAAACCCCAAAAGGCTGCTTGCTTTTGCAAGCCGACCAACGAAAGTGGCGATGGGCCGCCTTGGAATCTTTTCTGTGTCATCGTTTCATGCCCTGGTGAGTAGAAGCTAATGAATGTTTGAAAAATATTCATGCTGATGCTTAATTCTGAACAGGACTTGCCAGCAGTCTCTGAAGTATTTTCCTAGTTTGCTGCTGTGGGTGGATTTCTGAAATGCCCTTCCTTTACAGTGGATTCAGATTTTCCCTTGAATCTGTTTAGAAACTTGTTACTTAGGCACTTCCTGATGGGGCCTAAATTGTGGTGCAAAGAGAATGAAACAGTCACTGTCTTTTTTGTTGCCCGAGATTGAACCCAGAGCCTTATGCAGGCTACACAAGTGTTCCACTTCTGAGCCACACCTCCGGGCCCTGGCATGTAGGCTTACTAGATGTTTGCCATATTGTTTATTGATAGCTCTTGTTATCTGCAGGCAGCGTTACCTTTTGAACTCAATATATTCTATTTTATTATTATTTTTTCTTGTATTTTTGAGGCAGAGTTTCACTATGCAGTTCATGCTGGCCTTGAACTCACTTTGTAGTCCAGGCTGGCCTTGAATTCATGGTAATCCTCCTGCCTCAGCCTCCCGAGTGCTGGTATTATACGTGTGCACTACAATGCCCAGCTCACATTTAAAAAAATTTAATCTTGTAGAAATAGTGAATGGGAGTCTTTCTGTCGTGCATAAAAGCAGCATTCTCATCCTCTCTTTCTCTTCTCTCTCTGTCTCTCTGTCTCTGTCTCTGTCTCTTTCTCTCGCAAACACACATTGTAAAAACAGATCTCTTTGGAGATTTCTTTATTTATCACTTATTTATCATTATCTTTATTTATTTATCATTGTTTTGTAGTCACAAATACGTGAGGAAGACAAAGAATTCTCACAATGTAGCAGCTAAACGCATATATGGCTGGAGGAGGGGCATTTTCCTTTGACCTTTGGGGCATGGTACATATGGTTGTGTTGTATGTTCGTGATCTGTAATTTCATGTACTTGCTAAATTGCGAACAGCTTTATGTACTCTTGATTCCTTCCTGCTGAAAGAAATCACATGCTTTTAGCCCATCCAAGTCGACACCCACTTAAAATGTACTACTGCACCTTAGCACATTTGCTACAGAATTAAATGTTAAGTCTCAGTTTCCAGGAACCGCACTGGAAGACTCGCCTGGGCCTCTCTTGTCTTACCATGTCAGCTGTAGCCTCCATTGAATTCAGAGCTGTAATTCAGTCAGAGGCGTTTGTGTTCTTTATAAATAGGTTAGCGCCATCGTTCAGATAATTAGGGGTAGATTTACATTTTTAAAGAAGTCTTAAACCAATTTCTGGAGTTATTAAAACTGGCATCCTGATTTGTTCTGCTAATTACAGCTCTGCTCTTGGCCTGCCTGCCTACCACCTCTCTGTGTAGCTATTATGTCTTTATTTTTTAGTAATGGTGGTTCAAAGTGCTGGGATGAATAAGTCTTAAAAAACAGTTTTCAATTAATGGCATTATCTAGGTCTGTTTCTTTGAGGTTGTGTTTTTTCCTCCCAAAAGATTGGGATAGAAATTACTTACTTTCTTGTCCGAATGTCCTGGTCAGGGGGCCTTAAGAGGGCTCATCCAGAGGAAAGCTTAACTCCAGCATCCCCCAGCTCCTCCTTTTACTTTGGCTTGGTACAATTTGGAGAAAATACTTGAACTTTCTACCTGAAACTTCCATACCTATTATTTTCTTCCCAGCCATTGGTGTTCAGCTTTCCGAGGCAGGCAAGTAAAGGCCGCTGCTTTATTATTCCTAGTTTATCTCCAGTCCGTCTCATTTCCCCCGCTGCAGTGTCTGTGATGCGTGTGGACCCTCCTTTGGGTGGCCGGCCATTGAGCCACTGGCCGTCCGTATGCTATGCATGTGTTCTGCCCTTTAAGTACAATCCCAACCCCTGGTCAGCGATTCTAGAAAAGCACACTTAATTCCATATGTCCACCTTTCCTTTCTTTTGTTCTTTTTCTTGCTAGCTGCTTCAGTGATGTGTCCCTGCCAACTGATCTTTTGCCTGAAGGATTTCATTTGAGACACAGCAAGCTAGGCAACCTTTTTGGGTATCTGTTCCTATTTTCTGTTTTAGCTTCTGTGGAACATCCAGGGTAGGGAATTTTATAGTCTGGCTCATAGAGCACTTTGTCTTCCCCCCTTCTTCCCTTGTCATTTGACCCCAAGTATTTTTTTCCCCCCTTTGGATTTGAAACACTCTTCAATTTAGCCTTTGTTCAGATTTTTCGGTCCTTTTCAGGGGGCAGTAGGAGGAGGAGGTGTGAGGGTAACGGGCCAGGGGAGGGGTTGGAGCAACAATGGAGGCCCCATTCAGCAGGAGAGCTTCCAGCAATGCTGAGTGACTTGGCAGCAATTAACTGAAGGGTCCCCGCTGTACTCTTTGGAAGAAGGTTATCATTGTTCTTGTTTGCACAGATGAGCTGAATGATAGAGTCATCAGGTGTGGGCCACAAAGGCCAGCATTGTCCGGGTAGAGATCATTGAGAAACTCTTGAGCTCCGGTCCAGCAGTTCTTCTTGCCAGCCTTCTCTTTTCTACATCCCTTTGCTCATTTGGAGTCATTATTGTCTTGGGGATAGTGGTGACTCTTGCAGTTTACAAGGCCTCAGCAATTGGGAATAGCTGCTATAGCAACCTTAAATACAGTGTTTATTCAGCAGACTAAACTAACCAGTCAGCTGGTCACTGAGAGTATTTGTGGGTGTGTGAGTCTCTCTCATGCTTCCCCCCCCCTCCCCCCGCTAAAATTGTAAACTTGAGAGTTACTTTTTAGGTCTCAGGTTATTATCTCTAGGTTACTTATGATACCTAATATAGTGTGAATGCTATGCAAATAGTTGTTGTATTGTTTAGGGATTAATGATGAAGAAAAGTCTATGCATATTCAAGAGAGATGATATTTTTTATTTGGGATAGTTACAATCCGAGGTTGGTTTGATCCCTGGATATACAGGGCTGACTGCATGGCTGCTGTGTGTGTGTGTATGTGTGAATCTACTTATGACTGGATTTACCTGTTTATAAATAGATACATGGACAAGAGTTCAAATAGGCATCTTCTTTAGGATTTTGAAATGTCACATTATTTATTCAGTATTTACATAGTCATGGAATCTTGTATGTATGTATGTGTGCGTGTGAGTCCTTTCCAATTTAATTTAGTTTAATCCTTTTACAACTTTCATTTACCTTTAATTTAGAAAGTAGTGGACATACAGAAAAGTTTGTATGGATTTAATGGTGCCTTTTGTTTCGTGACTTTTGTTCCCCAAAACACCTGGAGAATAGTCATAAAAGATCTTTCTCATAAAAACTCCCAAAGTGTGTGGGCGACCAGTTTTTATAAGCTGAATTTTTTTTTTAAGAGTAGGAAAATGTATTGGGGAAAAGGACTGGGAAATAGCAGTGGGGAACAGGAGTAGCTCCTGAGATACAGGAGGGGTCCCAAAAGGGTTGCCCTGATTTTTTAAAAAATGCACTAAGCTGAGAAAATGCAAGACTTCCCAGCTCCTTTATCTCGCTGTTTTCATCAGGGACCAGAGCTTCTCCCTCACACCTGTCAGAGAAGCTGTTTTGATCCCTGTCTTTAGAATGCATGGAGGTCCCTGCCCTACAGCCACAGGGCTTCTGCCAGGCTTGCCCTGTCGGTACTGGAGACCCAGAGGGGTGTGTTGTGAGCCAGCATGCCCGCTTTGGGGAGGCCTCGTGTGTTACCCAACACTGCCTCATCCCCAGCTGCCAGTTGGCGTCTGTCACACAGGGAGTTGCCTGCGTGGGAACCTATGACAGTAGGTTCCAGGACATTCACCTCCAGCAACAAATTGCCAGTAGGGGAGTTTCAAGTCTGACTGGCTAGACCTCCCACCACTCCCTTTATTGAAAGGCGAGCCCGTGGGTGGCCTGTGGAGGCCTCTTGATTCAGTTCCTGGGACTTACAACCTGTGGGGGAAAGTTCAAGCCAAATGCCCTGCCTATGAGGACTCAGGGGGTGCTCAGAGGTTCTGTTTGAGCACTTACTGCAGTGACAGCTTTAAATTTGGGGTGTCCCCTTCTGAAATGTTTCTCTGGGTTGCAGCTGCTTTGCAGATATCTCAACAGAGGTAGCTTTAAAAAAAATACAAGTTACTTCCTGTTTACCCGAACATAGGACGTGAAAGTTATGTATATCGGGGAAGTGGCTTTTCCTTCTTTGGAGACACAGGTTGCTCTGCTGGACACTATGTCCTGTGATGGGAGGAGGAGCCCTGGGGGTAACAGGAAGCCTCCTTCTCCTGAGGGCAGTTCCTGGAAGGTGCAAGTAGTTTTCCTCCTTACACCCCAGGGATCAAAATCATTATGGACCCCACTGCAAGACAGCAAAGGAACTTGTTCAATTAAATATTTGCCTAGTAAAGAACATGGCTGTATATATATATCCTAGGATAACTAAAAAGGAGAGATTGGTGATTTTAGTTTTAATAGGGAATCACAGGAACCAAAATCTGCTATTTTCCCATTCTTTTCACTGATCTTCAGCCTGAGTCTTCATCACCATATAGAAATAGCTCTGCAGAATCGCGAGAACTCCACAGCTCATCAACCTTGATGTTGTGGTTCAAGCCTGAGACAGGAAAGATAGCTAATTCTTGGGAACATAGCATCTGTATTTTATTACTACTTATGTGTATTTTTAGTGATGATTTCATGTAGAGACTGAGTTTGCCAGCCTTTCGTTTCCACCTTGAATCCATGATAGGCCGCGAAGTTTGAATACCTCTGAGGCATACTTCAGGCTGGGTTCTATGTGGGCTGGGACAACAGAGGGTTTTTTGAACGGTGGGACTGAGTAGGGACCTCAAGGATGCCCAAGCATTAGTCAGGTGGGTTCCAGAGCTCCCTTCCACTGGTCCTGACGGTTTGTTACTGCTGGTTCCTGTCATCCGCAGGTGGCAGCACGGACTGGTGAAACTGGAGTGAGGAGGCGTACTCAGGCTATGTCCAGATCTGCAAGCAAGCGAAGGAGCAGGTTTTCTTCACTTTGGGGTCTGGACACCACCTCCAAAAAGAAGCAAGGACGCCCAAGCATCAATCAGGTAGGTTTCAGAGCGGACCAAAAGGAGCTGTGTGTGGACTGCTTCCATGGTTACCCAGTGGAGAGCGTGTGTGTGTGTGTGTGTGTGTGTGTGTGTGTGTGTGTGTGTGTTCCTTTATTGACACTGTTATTTTTAAGTCAGCTAATTGACACAGAGCAGCTAGTCATGCTAGACCCTTTTAATAGATAATGCACACCCGTAACACTGAACTCTGCTATTAGTCTATCATCAACCCCCAGTCTCCCCACCTGCATCCTTTCCAAGCCCTGGGTAATTATAGACCTATTGAAAGTGCACAATTCACCCTGAGCCTTCAAGGCAGAGTGGGACTCCATGATGAGGCCTCTCGGGCCCTAAGCTCTGAGCCTCCTGAAGCTACTTCTGGCACTAGAGCAAAGGCAGTCTGCAGGGACTCTGATTGTGTCTTTGCCCTTGGCTTTCTGGGGCTGGCATTAAATAGACAGTCCCTCTGCCTCTGAGAAGGGGAGCTACAGTCTGCTGGCACTACTTCCTGCTTTGGCCATGTCTGCTGAGGCATAAGGGCTGCAAGGGGATCCCAGAACATCCTGAATGGACAACCTAGGCTGGTGCGGTGTGGGATGTGATAACTAGGCTGTAGCCCTGTTCTTCCGCATCGATTCTCCTTCATTATGAGCGAAGACTGCTTTCCTGATGTTACTCCTGGGAAACTCACTCTCTGTTGTTACTGTCATCTTTTCCTTTGACTCTGAGAACTGAGTATCCCTGGAAGTTTCCATTTCAGGGGCGAAAGGAACATGAGCATTTATATAGTCTGTTTGGAAGAAGGGAAAGGCCAGATCGTGAGCACAATGGCTGGACGGCCAGGCAGTGAGCATTCTAGAAGTCGTGACCAGGGTGGCTGGTGAGAGCTGCTCATGCCCCATGATTGTGCAAAATGAGGAAAGACTGACTGACTTACAGAAAGAAGCCTCTCAGTTTGCGCTGAGAATTCCAGCTATTCGTTTCCTAAAGAAATAACGTTTAAAAAGAGATCAGTCCTGGACACCTATGTGTTGAATTCCTCACCTAACGTGCTCATCGTTTTAATGTGGGATTTTTTGGTGGTGTTACAGAACCTGCAGTAGCCACCAGATGAACAGGGGATAAAGGGCATGAGACTGAGCAGCTTTGCAGTTTGCTCTGTGCTCTTGGGGGAGGTGGGACGTAGAGTTTGCTACTCTGGGGTTTGCGCTGTGTAAATATGGGAAGAAGCATGTATTTGGCGGGTTGTCAGTGTGTGCTCAGAGCAGCCACTTAAAGATTTGCGGGTTCTCTACTCAGCCTGCGGGAGGACAGTAGCAGCGAGCGTCTGTCCCTTCTAACGGTTCCTCCTTTTCGGTTCCATCAAAACGCTTGATTTGGGTGATTCTGCTGTCAGCACCAGCTTATGCTGCAAACCTGTTTTTGATATCTGTGCCTAAATTTAAATGAAATCTAGAGAATCTTTCATGTCCTTTTGGAAAAGAAAAAATGAATCACAGAACATTGTAATATATAAATATTTGTTTCTTAAACTAAGAGTTCTGAAAAATCTTCTTGCCCAGCCCTAAACAGACTGATGTAAATTTGTTCATTAATTCAGTACTCTGAAATGGACAAAAATTGTCTGTGAATACTTCATCTACTTTGATGAAAAAGCCTTTTTTTAAAAAAAAATTTTATATTATTGTAGTAGTACGTGCTCAGTTTAGAATCAGTAAATAAAATTCCTTATGTCCATGTGTTTGGGCATTGATTAGCTACTGGCATCAATACCCTGTTACGATTTTCGTCATATCTTTACATGATCAGGCTCCATTAAATTTGAAAGGATAGACAGTTTCCTGGTTTCTCCCTCTTCAGCTCGAGGGCTGGAACCTAGAGACACTCTACCATTGAGCTGTTTTCCCAGACTATCTTTTCTCCTTTTTTTGATTTTGGTTTGAGACAGGGCCTCAATAAGTTGACCATACTGACCTTGAACTTGTGTTCCTTGTACGTTACTTGTGTACCCTGTACCTTTCAAGTAAGTAGGATTCAGACATGTACCACTCTACCCCCTGACAGACAGTTTTCTATTTTTGTTGTTGCTGTTAAATAAAAAAGACTTCTGCCATGTTGTGGGGAAAATACTACCAATACTTTACCTTCTCAAGTTCTGTTCAATAGAATAATAAAACACAAATTGATTATTGCTTATAAGTATCTGATCAAGGGTATGAGGTAGAAATTCTTCATTGCTTTTTGTGAGTGTATTTTTTTAGATTAAGATGAATTATCCAGATCCAAAATGCAAACTTATTCTTGGTTTTGAACTGTTAAAAATGTGGAAAGTCAGCGATGTACAGGGACGTGATTTTCATATTCTGCCACCCTAAATGCTATTACCTGCTTTGAGATTTGATGTAGGACTATCTGAAAACTCCTGTGATGTTTTCTAATAGCTCTGCCCATTTTCCATCTCCTTCCTGTGCCTCCTTTGGCCCATTGGCCAGATTTCTTTCTAAACTGATCCTTTTGTATGTGCAGGTGTTTGGAGAGGGAACCGACGCTGTAAAGAAATCTTTAGAGGGACTATTTGATGACATTGTTCCAGATGGCAAGGTAAAAATAAACACGTGTTCCTTTTCTAAAAGTACCACGCGAGCATCTGCACATGCACAATGCTTTGGTTCCTTGGGATACTAAAATTAAGTAGACTCCATATAAAAACCTAAGTGATCGGTTTTAGGAAGTTATGTAACAGGGCAGTGTGAGCTGGAGAATCATCTTGTGTTTAAAACATGGTGATAATAAGACCATTCTCTTGCTGACAGAACATTTTTTGTATTTATCATTGGAGGTATAGGTTTCCACCTAGAATATCACAAAAAATGTGCGTTCTCAGGTAGCTGAATATTTTATGTCATTGCCAATTCCTTTTTATGTACAACTTTTATTCCCAAGAGGCGAGTTCTTCTTATTGCCCTCGCTCTCTGCCCACACACGCTATTTTGCTCCCATTAATTTCAAAGAACTGTTCTGATAGTATGTTCTTTTTTTTAAAAACCACATTTGCTTCCCAAGTTAAGTATTCAATTAAAGATTCACAGACTTTATTCAACCTTTTGCTTGGATTTAATAGGAGTTTTCAGACTGCTCTGATTGATAGTCTAAAATATTATTATCCTCCTTCCTTGGCCTCCCTTCCCCTCCCCTTTTTTAGCCCCTAAGGAAATGGGCATCGTTAGTTTTCAATACCCCAGTGGCGATGCCAGCAGCCCCTTTGTTTGTGGTTCTAGTGTTGGTAACATGACCTTAGGGAGAGGCCCTGGTTCTCAGGATCACTATGACAGAACTCAGCTATCTGTTACCATGCAACCAGGCAGTGTCAGTCAGCGATGGCACAACCCGGGTTCTAGAAGGAGCTGAGCCTCAGGAGCCAGAGCAGCGTGGGGTTTCTGGAGGGAGAGGGAGAAGCGGGAAGGGAGAAGGCTTTTTTCTCTCGATCCAGACTGCTCATGGATTGTGTCATCGAGGATACAAAGGCAGCTGTCTCTGGAAATACCCAGCCATGGAGCATTTGCGTGGAGATTTGATGAAATTAAATTATCGTGCCTATATATATTCCAAGCACAGTCATTTCTGCAGTGGGCCAGTGCATCTCGTATGGCATCACTGCACACTTTTGCTTTGCCCTCCTGGGTTTTCAGCCTCCGGCCTGAAGACCAGACTGTATTTCCAGTCCTTGTTTATGTTCTATTTTGAGATAGGATTTCAATGAGTTACTAAGCTGCCCAGGTTACAACTTGTAATCCTCCTGCTTCGGCCTACCAGAATGCTGGGATTACAGTTATTATGCACTTATAATAATGGAATATTCCTTCCTTCACACACACTGGGGAAACTGCCAAAGATTTTCCTTTGGATTTCTGTGTAGCTTTTGTGGTTTTTCTTTTCTATTTTTTTCAGGGAATCTCTTTTTTTCCTCTTCCTGCCCCTGTTAGAATGCCTTGCTTACAAAAAGCAGTTTCGATGCAAAACTTGGGCCGATCCAGTGCTAAGGGGCACTTATTTAATGTGGCACTTGGGAGCAGTGGGAAGATTCCAATTATGGTTAATGGGATGTAGGCAAGTTGATTGCTTTTTGACAATTCCCTCCCTGGGGTCTAACTTATCTGCAAAGCACCAGTGTTCAAAGGCAGGCCTGAAATTGTGGCTTTAGTTTAGTGGCCTTTACTGAGACCTTCCCATTCCCACACACACATTGTTGGATTCTGTTTTTTTTTTTAAATGCATGGAATGGTTATGTTGCCACCTCTCAGTCTTTGTTTGGAAATTCGTTTCTTGTACGTTACTAACCCTGGCCTTGTTCTTGGTAATCTATAGATGCATATCTATCCACCAGTGGCTTAGTTATAAACCAATAATGCATGCAACGTTACGTGATGCTCATTGGCCATCAGAAATCTGTTTCTGTTGCTGAAATCTAACATCCCTTACTTATTGCACTGTATTCCTAGTATTTCATCGATCTCTAGGGCATTTATTTTCTGCTTTGGCCGTTTGTCAGGTTTAGGTTTAACCCAGGTGCCCGCTAGGTTAATACAGTAGCATTTCTCCCACTCCAAGCTTTTCTGCTACTCCTGTCCGCAGGCAGAGTGACACAGGGCAGAATGAGGCCATTCTCTTAAGAGGCCTCACCCCTGGCCCGTCTTTTTTTTTTTTTTTTTTTTTCTTTTTCTTTTTGTCCATGTTCGCAATGCACAGTGGTTATAGTCACTGTCCTCATTCTTTTTATGACCTCTCCTCCCCACTCCACCTTTCTCAATCCCTTGGTCCTCTTGACTGATTTGGAAAAGGCTGACCTCCCTGTTTCCTATTATCTGCCTTTGATCTTGCCTTTTGGCTTATTTCTACCTTGGGTTTTTCATATAAGAGAACCCATACAACACTTGAGCTTGCAAATTTCTGAGAAATGGAGCTGTTTCTCTCCCACTGTTGTGCTGGGCGCCCTAGGAGAGCACAGAAATGAGTCCACCTCTCGATAGCTAGTGGTAAAGCATGACCTTTATGAAAGGATTTCCTCAGGGCCTCATTGTTGCTTTGCAGACTTCATGTGGCAGATATTCTTGTTGATGGGCCTCTTTACTACTCAAAACTTAACACGAATTTGTAGGAGAAATAACAATCATGAAGCTGAGCTGAATGGGGGACCCATTTCTTGCATTCATCTGGATTTCAGTACCTCTTCACTCATGCCATGCTCACCTCCTAAAGCTGCACACCAGGTGGGGGTCCGCCCCAGGTCTGAAATTAGACACCTCCCCAGCCCCCCTCTCCCCCAAGCTTCCTGCCTTTGAGCTCCTTTCCTGGGAGCTTCTATCTCTCCTCCCCTCTGGCATCTTTTCTGCTCTGTGCTGTTTTGCTAGGAAAGTCCCCGGGAGCTGAATGCACGTCTGAGGTTGTAGGAGGTGGTCTGCTGTGGCACTGCTAACTTTACTTCATATTACAGAGGGAGAAAGAAGTGGTCTTACCTAGCGTCCACCAGCACAATCCTGACTGTGACATCTGGGTCCACGAGTATTTTACTCCGTCCTGGTTCTGTCTGCCCAATAATCAGCCAGCCTTGACAGTTGTCCGGCCAGGGGACACTGCACGGGATACCCTGGAGCTGATTTGCAAGGTATAGAGCTGCTTTGGGGTGTTTCCCTAAAAAATTTCTGAAAGGGTGGGGAGGAGAATCTCGTAGGGTGCAAATGGAAAGTCCGTGTCACCGGAGAAGAGGGCGTTTGCTGCACCTGAATTCCACTTCACAGCACCATTGCATCCTTTGTGATAATATACTAAGTAATATAAGTGACTTCCTCCCTTTGTAAGGACAGGAACTCAGATAAGTGGCTGCTTTCAGTGACTTTGATAGATTTGCAGTGAGCACATTGATGCACATATTTTAGAAAATTTAAGAACAAAACGGTACATTAACGTGTTACGTAGCACTTACTGAGAGAATCTGAAATAACTGTTATAAACATTTGGTGTTCATCTTTCCATTTTCTTCCTACACAACACTCCTGCATGTGTTTGATGGCATCATATGCTGGGTACTGTTTCGTGACCTGCTCTTGAGTCAGTAATCGACACAAGGCTGCTTTAAAAGGGAGAATAACTGAAGTGAGCCCAAGTTCCCTTACTCGGGAACACTGAATTAGGCTGAACTTGTTTCCTCTGCTTTACCTTTAAGCTATCGAAAAGTTTAGATCTTTTTCAGGGCCACTAAGTTTTCTTCTCTCTGCAGGGCAACCAAATGAATGCCCCTGAGTGAGGGCCAGAGGAGAGGAGAGAAAGGAGCTTTTCTTATGTGCTTGTTTTTATCTTTAATGCTGTAACTGGTAGCACCTGTGGTCTTGTTTTGTGGTGATGACCAATCTGAGGAAGAGTAGTTGCTTTCCCTGTCTTGTAGACAGAGGAAGAGAGGCTCAGAGAGAAAGGGATCAGTTGAGCCTTTTTAAAGAAAAAAAAATATGGCTCGTGGCAAGTGGGGAAAATGGAACAGTGAGCTGCAATCAACCTCTCACAGATAGTGCATGTGGAGGAAAAGTAGAATAGTTACTTGTTTCAGGATGAGTAAAGTCAGCCCCCAGGTAGGTTTTAAAAATAAACGATACTGCTTTACATACTTCGATTCTTCCACATATGCGAGTTCTAGCTTTTGAAGATAATGGTATCTCTGTTCGTAATTTTTCATTTTAATTACTTAACAAAATAGGTCTACTGAGGATTTCTGCATTGCTTTATTTATAGATTAGCACGATTCTTTAGAGAATCATTAATATTCTGCAGAGCAGTGGGAGTTATTCCTAAATCTGCAGCTCAAAGTGTTCAAAGTAGGACTCCGGCCTTTTTGCCAAAGTCAAGCTGTAACGGAGTTTTCAGGGACTAGCATGGTTTGGGGGCGCTCTGTGGTCAGCGGCTTTAGGCTCCATCAGGAATCCAAGATTAAACCTGAATGGTTGGGTAATTTTAAGTGCTTTTCAAGCTCCAGCTTGGGTAGAAACTAAGGGAATGAAGTATAATACTGTCACTGCCATTTTGATACCATAATTAAATAATACTGGGGCCCTGTTCCCCATAACGGTGGTGGTGAACCTCTGGCACGCATACCACGGTGGGCTGTTTGTCATCACTGACAGATACAAAATGTTCGCCATCACTGCTGTGTGCTTATTTCTTTTACATGCAAGGTTTCTGTTGGCCTCACTAAGGTACAACAAATCCCTTTCTCTAACAATGAAAAAAATCATCCTGCCTAAATTTCCCTAGGTTTTTATTTCTTTTTCCAAAAACATAAATACATAAACAGAGAACAGTGTGAACAAGCTTGCATGTTATGAGTTTAAGAACAGAAAACTTTGGTGCTGCACTTTAAGAAATTGATGCTCTCTGGAAAAACATCTATGTAGTATGAGTTACATGTGTGCTGAGAGCCAGATGCCTTGTAAAGCTTGCCTTCTCTTTGAAAAGTGCTTTGTTGTAATTAGTGGAAAGAAAGAGATAATGTGGAAACCGTGCTACAGGTTGTTAATGACTTACTATAACGGTGAGTGGGGTTTTTGTTGTTGGTTTTTTTTTCTTTTTGGAGGAGGAGAAACTGAAAACAAAGATGTAGGAATGCATGTCTTTTATTTTGTGATTGTCATACTCAACGTTGGTGATGGATGCTTTTTCTAATATTTAATAATCAATCTCTTTCTCCTGTCTCTTGCATTCAGCTCATTCTCTTTCCTATTCTCTCTGATCCACATCATTTCCCATCAGTTTGCCATCTGCCATCTGATCACCAGTCAAGTTCTGGTATAGTAAATGTTTCAAGATCTACATTTCATCATGTTACCATGATAATTGTTGCTAAATGTAGCAGGTAATTATGTTGATCTATAGGTTTTACTATGTTCTTGTGATTGCAAAAGCCATTCGGTCATACTCATTGATGCTGTTCACATATGACATGATATCAGCTTTATTTTATGCTTTTACTCTATTGGCCTACTGTGGCTTTACATATCCTAACAACCACTGGTGTTTAAGAAATAAAAGGTCACTTTGAAGGTGAGGGGGGAAAGTCTCTGGAGATTCTGCAGTAATGCTTTGTGTATTTGTGAGTGTGATGGGTTTCTATGTTCAACAACTACGGGTTAGTATATTTCCCAGAGGAGTTTCACTGAAAGAAGAGAAATTGGAAGAACAAAACATGGTGGTTGGAAGATCTGTTCAATAAATTGTTAACTATTTTAGTGGCTCAAATTACTTCCTGAAAAGATCTGCATTGTGTTTTGTTATTTCCTCCCCTGAAGTAGTTATGTAAGACACTAATTTTAAAAAATTAAACCAACCGAATTAGAATTGCCCTATGATAATATTTGTTATAATTTATAGCCGCTTTGCTTTGAAATGAATCAGATGCTCTCTAAGTAACAAGTAAGTGTACTCTGGAAAGCGAATTTGTACATTTAAATTTTTTCTAGCTGAATTTCTTGTTAGGAAATTTTCTCTTGAATGTTTTATAAGTTTAAAGCAGGTCACATATTTAGAATCACCATCCTAAAATATTCATTAACGTTTGCAGTTCCTTCTGCACAAAGATGCATTGTGAATATGGTTGGTTGTTTGGCCTGTTTTGATATTGAGGAGCATAATATACTTTTTGAGACTTCTGAGATCTGATTTAATTAGTTCATTAGGATTTGCCCTTTATTTTAGACCAGCTGTAACTGTGAGATTTCATGATCAAGGTGGGAAGGCACGCCGGAAAACTGAACCAGTGTCCCAGTGTTAGGATAGCTATTCTCCCACCAAACTCAGGGCTCCCGGTTCCAAGTCAAACCATTTTAGTTTTTGTGTCTGTTGCACGTGATCATTTTTTATATTTTCAAGTTACCAAGGAATTCCTGTAATATAAAGTTCAAAAAATATGATTGGGAATGTGGCAGGAAATAGCCTTCTTACCCTTGTAATATGCTTTTTTTTTTTCTCTGCCACATTAAGCAACAAAAGTAAGGCAGCCCTGCTGGTCGAAGGGAAAGAAGTCCGTACTGTCGCCTTTAAGGGCTGCTGGGGCCCTAGACGGTGCCAGGACCACCTGAAGTCTTGGTACTGAGAGAGTGCCCTCCCTCTTACACTGTGATTTCAGTTAGCAGAATTTCCTTAGGTGAGGTGGCTGTGCAGGATGGATTTCCACAAGATGGTCTGCTTAAGTGGCGGTGTCTTTGAGAGTATCCAAAATGTTTATTAATGATGACGAGACGCTTCCAAGCCGATTTGTTCCTGTTGCTAAGACCCCAGGAAACTGAGTTCTCGTTCCCTTGCGCCTTAGTCAGGAACAGATGGTGAACCAAAATTCTACTTCTAATTAAAGATTTCAGTGAGGACCTGGGTAGGTGGTAAGTGTTTGCAGCTCCAACCCCCTGACCTTTGAAAGAAACTTCCCTTGCTTATTGTATCAGCCTCATGTTGCTGTTTTGTCGTTGCTTATTTATCTTGGTAGCTCTCCTGTAAGCGGTAGGCGAGCCCAAGGACACCTAAGAACTTCCCTGTTTTTTGTTTTCCTGGGCTTTTGCCCACAAACCGTTATTATCTTTCACTTCAGCAGCCTGGGTCTGTAGACAATAGCTTCTGGTTTCAATTCCGGCAAGAGAGGACGCGAGCCAGCGGCCGGGTGTCCGGGAGTGTGTTTTTGGAATGGTGTCTATGTTCTGCGCGGCAGGCTCAGACTATCACGTTACTTGGGAACAGGATGCGGGTCAGGGGTTCCCCAGAATCACTGGTAGAAAACTTTATCACCCTGTTGCATGTTCAGAGGGAACTGGTTTGGCTTTCCAGAAGTGTGCTTTTGTAATAACATGGAATGTCTGATCTCTGCATTTATGTATTTATTTAAAATACGAAACCAACCCTGCCCCAATGGCTGTGTGGTGCCCACCACTTTTGCATAACCACATTCTCAAGGGCTACAGGTGTGCTTGGGTTTCTGCTTTACGTGGACAGCGTCTGGAACACTTTGGAGTTTGTTAGAGGTGATTTAATTAGTATTATGAGAATAGTCTTAGAGCACAGCTACTTTGGCCTTAAGAATGATGCAGATACAGCAGTTCTGTAATTGTAGCGCTCTGGGAGGTCAAGGCAAGAACACTGCAGGACTGAACCCAGCCTACGTAACTTTGTGAATTAGCAAGACCTCATCTCAAAATAAAAAAATAAAAGCTGGGGTGGGAGTGGGGGAACCAAACAGTTAAAATACTTTCTCTCTAGCAATATGTCTTCATGTTGCCAATGTAATTTTTGAAGAGCGCTTCCTTTTTTCCTTGTCTCATCTTGACTCTATGTTGAGAGTTATTTTAAAATCTATATTGTCATGATTGCTCTTTACCAAAATCAAACCAAGCGTGATTTTTTAAATAGAAAAAAACCAACTGCCCCATCCAGGACCAAAGAAGTTCTACAAATTTTTGTTCCTATTTTTGAACATTCCTTGAGCAGAACACTCAGTGTGAGCTCAAAGTTGGGCACACGCCTGTGGCTCTACCCCTGAGGACGTCGCCTGCTGGGTATATAAATTAGACTGCCACCCTAATGCCTTACCTGCAGCAAAACCCCTTGCACACGAATGTTGAACAACTACTCTGGTGTCCCCACATGGTTAAAGAAAAAAACCACAACTTTGCTTGGGCACAGCTATTTTCTCTCATTGTAAACTTATTTGTACCTTTCTGGTCACTTTTCATGAGTCACTTGGGTTAGATATGGAATTGTATATAAGGTCCTCTTGGATCTGATATTTTTTTGGTTGGAAAATCCAGTGCCAAGATGTGCCATGCATGAATCAAGCAAAGAGAGGTGAAGATGTAACATAGGTGTTTCCACTGAATCATAGGATGAGTTCAGTGGAGATGATTATGAACCCTAAGTTTGGGGTACAAACCTTTTAAAAGGTGTGGAAGCCTTAACCCTGCCTCTGATACCAAGTCTCCATTGTGTTTGGGAGACGCGATGCTCTGTTGGTGGAGCACTGCTCCTAGCTATTTTCTGTTAAATGGACATATTCTTTTCTTTTTCTCCCAGACACATCAGCTGGACCATTCTGCTCACTACCTGCGTCTAAAATTTCTCATAGAAAACAAAATGCAGTTCTACATCCCTCAGCCGGAAGAGGACATTTATGAGCTGGTAATGTTGTGACTGTTGTCCGAGTGCCTTCTGTGACAGATTAGTATCACATGATATGTGTACTTGTGTTCATTGTAGCTGATAGAGAAGAACGAGTTAGAAAACAAACGAGTTGCTTTTGGAGCTCTGAAGCCTTTGGTGATGGCCTGACTTATCACAGTATTTCCATAGTGGAAATGTCACCTCTGTCTATCCAAGGATTAGTGCTACGCTGTCGGGAAACACTGAAACCCAGAGCTCCCTTTCAGATGGAATTTCAGTCATGATCACTAACTTGCCTTGCAGCTCGGACAGTCTTTTAGTTTAACTCAGAGACTCAAAGATCAGCTGGCTGTTGTCATAGTAAAAATACTAACTGCAATTTTGTGTGATACCCATATGCATGTTAAAACCCATGAATGTAATCTTATGTGTAGCTGGGGATGGTGGTACATACGTATTATCTTAGTACTGGGGGAAGCTGAGGCAGGATGATTGCTGTGAGTTCAAGACCAGCTTGGGCCATGTAGTGAGTCTAAGGCTGCCCTGAACTACACAGTGAGACCCTCTCTCAAAATAAACAAACAGTGAACATTGTGGGTAAAGAAAGCTGCTGTCTTATTACAGATCCCAGCTTGTTGAATCTGTATGTACAGATTTGTGGGGGTTCTTATGTGTGTTTGAGTTGGTGCAGACCTAACGGGACTTGGCTTCTGAACCAGCCCTGGCTTTATAGATTGGATCCATAAAATAGTGAGATGACAGTATTCAGTTTCTAGGATTTTGTGAGTTCAGAGATAGGGTTTCTTAGTAGATGCCAGTGGTGGTTGTAATAATCCAGTGACAAGTTCCGTTTTTTATTAGCTGGGCGTACAAGAGTTGGGAGCGAGGCGCCTGTGTTTTGGAATGTGTCCTGCTCTGCACGCTGCCTACTTACTTAGTCATTCCTCCGGGGGCTCGGGGCTCCTTGCAGGATGTGTGCATGTTAACAGGATGACTTCAGAGCCTCACCACCAGAGCGGAACTGAAAATTTAAACCCAAATGTTCTCCTTTTTGGAAAGGGGAAGCATGATTTAAAAATTAGTAGGAAATGGGATGTTTTAAGTCATTTTTATTGAGGAACACTTTCAATGTAATAAAACTCTCAACAGTTTGAAGTACACAGTTGGATGAGTTTTGACAAATGTATACAGTCATGTTTCCACTGCCTCCCTCAGTCACGGTACGGAACACTGCTGTCATCCTAAAAGGTTCCCCCAGTCCCCTGTAAGTGTTTTTAAGGAATTGGAAGAGAGTGTGCTTTAGGAACAGTCTTGCCGTGCTCTGCAGCACTGGAGGATCACAGTGATGGGTGTGTTCTACCTTCACTTAGTAAGTGCTGCCAGAGGAAGCTCCATTCAACAGAGGAGCCATGTAGCTGACATAGTCCTTTTCTGGCATGGAGAAAAGAGCTCCGTATTCGAGCTGCGTGGGTAAAGGGGAAAGGATCATTTTCTGTGCTTAAAATAGGGAAATGTTAGCTGGATGTGGTAGTGGCTGACTGGAGTCCCAAGTGCTTGGAAGGCTGAAGCAGGAGGATCAGTTGAATCCAAAACTTCAAGGACAACCAGTGCAGCACAGCCAGTGCAACAACACGAGCCTGTGTTTGGGAGAAAGAGGGAGATAGGGAAGAGGAGGGAGGGAGGGAGGGAGGGAGATGGGGAGAGAGGGAGGGAGATAGGGAAGAAGAGGGAGAGAGGGAGAGAGGGGGAATATTTTGGTAATAACACAGGAATGTCTATTAGATCACAGACTTTGTATCTTGGGGCTAGTGAATTTTTCACATCTTATATCACAGGGATTAGATCCATGACCCTCATCTCTGTGTGTGTGAAGATAGCACTGATGCTTGAGCTGTGTCTTTTGGCGTCTTATGAGTCTTCTTTATCCTCAACCATGGTGCCAACAGTCTTGTCATGTTCTGCAGTATGAGAGGGTCTGTTTTCTACCTTCACTTAGTAAGAGCTGACGGTGCCAAGCTTGAGCTGTTCGTAACTGCAGTTGCTATATACTGGTTACAGTCTTGCTTAAAAACCTGTGAAGTAGAGAGAGACCCTGGTATTCTCTATTACCCTGTTGCAGAAAATCTTTAGCCCAGAGATCCCGAAGGAAGCTAATGCCGTAAATTGGCACACTTTAGTGCCTCTATTTTCACTGGGATTCTCTGCCATGTTGTGGTTTGGGTCGCTGTGGCTGCCTGGTGCGCCTTCTAGATTCCTTTTCAGATGTAGAAAAAAGGGTTTCCCGTGTCTTAGGGTGAAAAAGCTGTAAGACATATTTTAAAATTTCTAGGTAACAATATACGTGCTCCTTTATCAGCTCATGAAATGACAAGGTCTCGCAGTAGGTCCTGCAGCTACTTCTGGTTTGATGTGCTGGAAAACATTTTAAGGTCCTAGTGTGTGATACAAAAGTAACTGTAATCTTCGTGACAGAGTCACAACGCCACAGATCTTGCTGTTTGATGTCTACACCGTTTATGATTGAAGGCGGTGCTAACTTGTAGTCTAAGGTTTATAAATCTATAGGGTTTTTTTCATTCAAGTTCGCAGACCAGTTGAAGCCTCTCCATGTCCCTTTAAATCTGTGCTTTCAGGCAGGAGGCTGGGTGAAAGTCATCAAGTCAGGGCAGCGGTTTTCTGAATACACAGCATTCTCAGATATTTTGAGAATTTGCAGAGTTTTGATTTGTTGTTCTGTCTTAACAGGCGTCAGTCCCCACACCACTAATGTTTCCCTAGGTTTCCTCCTTCTGATGGGGATGCACTGGGGAAGTCTGCAGGTGTTGAAGCCATTTCCTCGTAAATGACACATTCTAATATGACTCCTTCAAATATTTTATTGTACACCATTGTTTTGTCAAACCATCTTATGATCCATGCATACCCATGTTTGTAACAGCGCAACTAATAATAGCTAAGTCTTGGAAACTGGCTGTATATCCTTCAGCAGATGAACGGGTAAGGAAAGTGTGGTGTTTATACACAGTGGAGTACTACTTAGCCATAAAAGCATACACTCCAGTCATTTTTGGGAAAATGGATGTGCCTTGAAACCATGATGTTAAATGAAATAAATCAGACACACAAGCTTACATATGTCATATTTTATATTTTCTCTTACACGAGAAACCCAAAATGTAAATAAAGCACAAGATAAAAGATAGGTAACAGGACATAGGGAGATAGATCTTTTGCAAAAGGGAAGAGGACCAAGAGTTGGAGGGGGAGGGGATAAAAACATAATTAACATGTATTATGTTCATTGCCTTAGTTACTTTTTACTTATCGCTGAGACAAAATAACTGATGCCCAAAGTTGGGAAAGGAAAGGTTTATTTCTTACAGTTTTTGAAGGTTTCAGTCTATACTCAGTTGGCTCCAAGGTGACTTGGAGACAAGGTGGCATAGTGGGCCGCAGTTCATGGGCGGCTCTAAATAGCAAGGCAGAAACAGCGAGAGAGAGAGAGAGAGAGAGAGAGAGAGAGAGAGAGAGAGACAGAGAGAGAGAGAGAGAGAGAGAGAGAGAGAGACAGACAGAGAGAGAGAGAGAGAGACAGAGAGACAGAGAGAGACAGAGAGAGACAGACAGAGACAGAGAGACAGACAGAGAGAGACAGAGACAGACAGAGTCAGAGTCACAGAGAGAGACCTTCTTCCTGCCATTACATTGTAAGTTGGCTCCACCCCTTTGTGGGGATAGCTCGGACACCATCAATCCAAGCGCTAGACAATGAACCAATTACAGATGCACAGTGCAAATGCATGAGGCCTGGGGGCCACAGATATAAATGTTGACATTCATGTACCCACTCACCTCAAGAAATACAATCATTGTGTACTGCAAACATAAATAATAAAAAATAAAAAATTAGTTATCAGTAAGAGCTTGTACTTTGAAAGGTCTTGGAGAAAGCTCTAGCTATTTATTTTGATGGTCAGGGCAGTCTCTTGCTTATAAGTAACCAGGAGTAGCTAGTTGTCTATTGATGTGCTTTGCCAGCTGAGGAACTGTAAGTGACACCAATTTGGCTATTTTTTTTTCATGACTAATTGTTTGTCTGCTTTAATCTGAACCTAGTTGTAATCTGTTGGAGGCTTGAACTTTTCAGAAATTGACACGTGGGAATAGAGAGTCCACAGAAGCACTGATCTGATCCATTTGTTTATGTATCGATGCATTAACTATTTACTTAGCATTTGTGAACCGGCATGGACCCAGCAATTCTAGGGATGGGGCATACTCGTACACACCAAAACTAAAATGAAAATTAAAAAAAAAAAGAACCAGCCAGGTTCTGTTTGGACCTGTGTTCAAGTTTGCAGAGAGGGATATAAAAGCATGTCAGTGATAGGCTGGTCACAGGTTGGAAAAACGAGATGTTGGGTCGAGTGGGTGGAAAGAGATGGGGATGTTGTACAGCTTAGACAGGACACTGGATCAGAAAGGTGAATAAATGAGGGTGAGTCTTAGAAGTCCTGTGGTCCCTCAGTCATGAAGTTAATTCTTTCCATGAATTCTGGTTGAAGAATTTCACAATTCTGATCCCAACCCAAGTGCAAGTGTATTCATACTATACTTGTAATTTATGAACTAGGAAGCACTGTATTTTGTGAAAAGTACCTAGGCAGAGAGAACAAAGTTGGCTAAGACCTGAGCAGGGAGGAAGTCCCCGTCCTGGAATCTGAGGAGGGTGAGTGGAGAGGGTAAGAAAGACTGCAGGAGGGACCTTTAGGGCCTACGTGAGAAGGGAACCCTCCGCACTTGGGTCCCACATTGTGGACCCAGCCAATTGCTGATAGAGAGTATTTGGGGGAAAGAAAATACGTTCTTGGTGACTGGTACTATGTAGTTAGGATCCTTAAGGTTGCATCAGTACTGAACATGTGCAGACTTTCTTTTGTTATTATTCCTTACCCAACACAGGATAACTACTGTTTACACAGCATTTACACGGTATTAGACATAAGTAATCTAGAGATTAAATTGTATGAGAGAATGTGTTTAGGTCATATGAGATACGATACCCTTTTACCTAAGGGACTTCAGCAGATATGGATTTTAGCATTCTGGGATAGAAGGGTCCTGCAACAGGGCCCTCATGGTTACCTGGTGACACTTACGTTGGACTTCCGTTGCAACAGGCCCCTTATGACTGATGTATGACAAGGGGACCCTCGGGTATAAGACGTACGAGCCTGAGGGGCCCATAGGTGAGCGATTGTGGAGGCATAGGTGATGGTGACTGGGGTGGGGCACCCAAAGAAGACAGGAAGAAATAATCATGATTTCATGAGAACTAAAGTGCCTGCCTAAGCACATTTTTTTCCTACAATCCTGTATTCTTCTCATCCAGATTTTGAAAAGGGGGAGAACATACAACGACATTGATTTAATTGATAAAGGAAATATATTAACAGTATTCATTGTTAAAAATATTTGTGTGAAACAACTAATTTTAAACTTTTGTAGCTCCAGATATTGTGGTTGCAACAACAACAAAAAATCTGTGAGCTCAGATTATTCTTTCTTTAAAAATTGTATTAGTGTATTTTTGTGATTCATAATAAATACGTTCAGTAAGAACTGGTAACCACACATACGGTATCTGGATCCTTTTTCCTTCCCTCTCTACCGCCGTCCTCCTTCCCAGTTTTTATATATATTTTTTTCTGGAGTTTTTTTTTTTTTTTATAAACCTGACTTTTAACCCACATTAAAAAGGCAGTGTGGCCCAGGGGCCCGTTTATGATGCCACGTTGTGTGAGATCAGCCAAAGACAGGAAGACTTTCACAGCAATTCCGAAGAAAAGTCAGGAAAGAGTGACAAAGGTGTCCCCAGAGCTGTGCGGTATCCCATCAGATCTTCGTAGACAGCACACATGGTTACATGCTGCCACCTGGGGGACACTTTTGGCTCTCAAGGATGCTTAAAAAATAAAACTCAGGCCTCAGGTGAATAATGTTTTATTGAGCACTGTGTGATGTTATGCTAGATGGTGTAAAGTTCAAAGAATTTAGTGTTTATGATTCTCGTGATGGTGTTTTTTGGGCTAAAAATCACTGTAAGTCATTTCTTCTATTTGTATGAAACATTGCTGAAGTATACAAATAACATGTCCTTCAATTTTACCCTTAACACATTGCGCTTGCGGTTGCTATGGCAGCCTAGCAAGACCTAGGTTCTCGGCTCTGCATGCATTGGATCCGTGAATTTAGGAAGTTTTTCTCTATCCAGTCTTTCTTTATTTGTAGAATGGAGATCATACTGTCTTACAGAGTATAAGAGGCAGAGACACACAGTTGGAACATTGTAAGTTCTCGTCTTGAAGATGAAAGGTCCAGATGTATGAAAATGAAAAAACAATTAAAGTATAATGATTTTGATATGTAAATTATACATTATTTTTATCTTGAATTTGTATAAAAACTTTTTCTAGGTTTTCTTGGGTGTCCAAATGACTGATTAATTTGTGTATTTAAATTTTGTGGTTAATTTTGATATAGTTCAGTGATTAAAGAGAATATCTTCCATTTCCATAATTTGTGGTCAGTTTCAATGCTTTGTTGGTCTTTACCTGTTTGTACTATCGTGAACTTTTCACATAAAGTGGTGTGTGCAGAGAGAGGAAGAGAGGTGCAGATTTCCCCCATATTTGTGAAATTCATGCCAAAAATATCTTTGTAAGCTCTTTCTATTTTAAATAAACAAATCTCTACCAGTACCAGAGATTTTGATTTTCATTTACGCAGCATTCATTTTCAGGTCTGTGATGGGTATAGAATGAGACAAGATTAAGTTAGGGAATGGAAGCTCTGTGTTTCTCCTATGACTTGCAAAGGTTCCACTGAATACAAAGTCTATGGTGTGGTGTGAATTTTTATAATGTATCAGTTGTGAGACAAATAGATTTACATCATGACAATTCCTGAGAAGTTATTTACCATGAAGTTCTAATGATATCTTCTTTGTCATTTGCAGCTGTATAAGGAAATTGAGATTTGTCCCAAAGTCACTCAGAACATCCAGATTGAGAAGTCAGACACAGCAGCTGATAATTATGGTAGGTTTATTTGCCTTTGATCTTTGGTGTTTGTCTTTCTGGTAAAAGCATTTTCCTGGCATATGTACACTTATTTACAATTCAGTGCAAAGCCTTTGGAGCCTGGTTAGGACAGAGCACATCTGGATTCTGTGCTTTGGAAACTCCTGAACTGGGAAAAAGAGATACGTAACTCTAGGTTGTACATTTCTTCTTTTATGAAGTCTCTACTATTTTTATTATTGGTAGGAATACCGAAAGACTCTTTCTTATAACTAATTTTTGTGCTTTAAAATGAAGAATTAAACTAAACATCCCCAAAAGAGACAGCGGATGTCTATCCATTTGCAGAAAAGTAGCTAAAATGATAATAGTTAATAATTTTGTATAACAAACAGTTGTTCCTAAAAGATTTAAAAATTGAATAGAAAGGGCTGGATATTTAGCTCAGTGGCATAAGCGCCTGCCTTGCAAGCGTGTGGTCGTGAGTTTGATCCCCGGTACCAATTAAAAAAAAATTGAATAGAAAACCCGTTTCATCTATAAGTTGTATCAACCAACGTTAGAAATCTATAACCTTTCCAAGAGAAGTATTTATTTAATTTAAAAACACACTTCACGTATCTAAAATAGCAATGATTCACTTAACAATAAAACTGTCTTGTACTTTGAGTGTTTTTACAGGAATTTCCCATAGTTTGTTGCTCAGGAAAAACTGCAGCACAACTAAAGCAAAATAATACTTTGTTGGTGTGTAGTACAAAATTGGGCTGATTTATAAATGAAATATTAAATGCATACCTACAAAGGCTGTACATTTCCTAACTAATCATTGGGATTTTACCACCCTTAGAAGAAGACAAGGTAGTGGGATTAGATTATTATATAGAACACTATGCCTCACATATGTAAAGGAATTATCTGCTCACACCACTGTCACAGAATGAGCATTGTCCACCTTTCTCCCCACAAGTAAAGTTCAAGGAACTTACTTTGATGTTGCATCGGGGGTTCTGGAGATCACCTGTAGGTTTGATGACTCCCTAGCAGGGCAGCGAACTGGCACAAAACAAAGTTGGCAGAGAGTCAGCATGTGTGACTGTCCCAGTAGGGTCACCAAGGATGGGGTTACTTCTCCAGCAACAAGTTTCTGACGATGGCATGGGAAATGCAGCCCACTGGGGAAATCCTCTAGAGATTGAGAGCTTTCCGTGAGAGACTGTATAAGCACCAGCACCAGCTGCCTAGCACAAACCAAATCCTAGCACAGATTCTAGCATGAATCCCATTGTCACACAGGTGAAGCATAGTGAGTTATGTTGGAGTGTTGGGAATTCTCCCCAAATCCAGGTTCCTAGATGCCAGCCGAGGACATACCAAGTGAGCAGGAATTTCAGAGATTTGTAGTCATGCCTGCTATATTAATGCTTGTCTGCACTCTGGTGCAGTAAAATATGTAATCCTTGCCATATATTTAAGATTAGTCTTCTTTTCTTAGCATTAATCTTATATGGCTTAAATAGTAGCAGAGTTGGCACTGAATAAAGTAAGTGGGAAAATCCATACTATGCAGTATCAGTCGGGAGAGGCAAGGTTAGCTAAGGTAACAAGCAGTCACCAAAACCACGGGCTTGAAACCACGCGCCCTCTCCCATGTTTGCCATGCATTCTGTTTGTGTTGCCTGGGGCTCCATGTTATCCTCACAACAATACCCAGCCCCGGGAACAGCAGCCAGCTGGGGCATCGTCCATTGCTTTGCAGAGTGAAAAGAGCGGAGGTGGTAAAGCAGATGCTGGCTGATGCACAGTCACTGGGCAAAGCGAATGACAGGGCCACCCCACCCTACAGAGGAGTGGACAATTGCGATGGCATAAAATCCCATTTCCTGATGAAACTACTTAAGCATCGGTACATATGCAACTTAATATTTCTCTAAAGCATTAAGCTTAGAGTTTGAGAATCTTCAAACTCTTTATTGAGTAGTGGGGTAGTGTACTCCTTCTGCACGTTGTCCCACAAGCAGCCAATCCTGACTCAGAATAGTCTAACATTAGAATATTTTGGTCTAACGAAGAGGAGCTAATTTTGAAGCCCTGGCAATTTGTATCACACCTTCACGCTATTTACTGCTTGACCTTAAAACTAAAGACATCTGAAAGGCTGGAGGACATTCTTGATGACAGGGAATCAATATGTATGAAAGATTTATTATGCGGCAGAAGTGTGCCCTTAGTGATTAAAGCTGTCATTGGTGGCTGGGGTGTAAATGGCTGGGTGTCCAAAATCGCAATTCCTGCGGTGGTGTTGTGTTTTCTTGTTATTTTATTTAATTTGTGTTGAGTCAGAATAAACTAGTAAACCAGCAAGAATCAAGAGAAAGCTCGATTTCAGAACTCTTGGGCTGTTACTCTAGAACTGAATGATTTAGGGACTGAGAAATAGGAACTGGACCTAAAACTGCTATACAGTAGCTCCCTGTTACATGACAGGATATATGATGTTTCCAGGTCTGAAATTGCAGATGATAACAAATCATGTGCACTGTTTTTTCTTATACATGCATAACTACAATGGATTTAGACACATCAAGAGACTAGCCATAACTAGTAATAAAATAAACAATTACAATAACATAATAAAACTAGACCGAAGGTAACTGAAATGATGGAAAGCAAAACTGCACAATACTTCATATCCTTTTTTATACTTTTATTAAAATGACCAAATTGCTCCTGGAACCCATTTTCCTTCCCACCCTGAGGGCATTGTAGGGCCCCAGGCATCAATCTCCACAGTATTGCAGCCAGTGCTTTACAAACTACCTGATGTAAACAAGCAGGTGTTTTTATTTTTATTGCCAGTTTTAATTATAACTACACGGCCTTTGTAGGATGCACAGTGCTGTGCCTGGAGGTTGTGATGATGCCAAGTTGCTGCAGGAGGCTCTCGGGGCTCTCGATTTCTGCCCTTATGCTGCTATCAGTGGCGCCAGGATCCTGTGGAGGACACTGCTGTGCCTGGCTGATAAGCTCAGTCAGACTGCCTGCCCCTCAGTGCTCAGGTTCATGGTGGCATGAGCTGTTCCAATAGCATGTTGATGGGGAAGGCTAATGAGACCTGGTTGCCTGTAACCTCAAAACCTACTACCCAGGAATCTAAATTCAGCCTGACTGCATCCAGGATTCACACCTTTCTCAGTGTGGCTTCCCTTAGATTGAGTTCAGTGTATGTGGAAGCTATGGGCCCTAGCACCAACAGAAAACAACATCGTGATACAAACCAAATACTTCTTTCTAGTTTAGATCCTTAGAGAAGAAACCACGATCTGACAGTCCATCTGGTGGAGCAAATTTAGAGCTAACACTTAACTTCTCTTCCTTCCTTTTCAGTCCGCTTTATCCCTGCGGGGGCTTTTCCGACCTTGCTGTTGAAATTAGTTCCAAAGGCTGTGATGTGCAGACAAACAGGCAACCACCAGATGACAGTGTGCACCATCGCAGCAGCTGGGCTTTCCTTTTTCCCTAGCTACTTGTTTTTAATCACGTGTCCTCCTTACGGCGGAGGTATCAGCCCTGTACTGGGTTCCAGTTTTGGCTGCTTCTCTGTTGTGTGTCATGTGGTGAATTTGCCGTGGCCATGTTTCAGTGTGAGAGGTCCCCTTACTACTCATGTAAGGCTTGGTCTTAGTTCTTTCACTTGGTTTTAATCACTTCCTTCCTTTTCAAAGATCACTACTCAAGTTGCCACTTAAATTACTTTTCCCATTTTTGCAATGGACAGCCAGCCTTCTGTGGACACTTTGGGTTTCTATAGAATGAGTTCCCTCTGACACCTGTTAGAAGGCCTTTTCAACTGTGTTAGGACTGAACTGTGTTGAGCCGTTTGCACAGAATGAGAGCATTGCTCTCCTGTTTAAAAGAAAAAGCAAGTCTGACTTTGCTGACTAATGGCTAAGATCATTATGTGTTTCATTCCCCTTGACATAAGCCAGCTGTAGGGTGTCGCATATTTTCTTTATCTCTGCTAATGTAGTTGTTGAGACCTCACAGCTGCGCATGTGTGACAGGGTGAGAGCGGCCATCATTCTGGAACCCTAAAGAGCAGCTGGTGTCACCTGCTCCCCTAAACAGGTGGCCAGTGGCATTTGATCTGGTGCAAAGTACCGTCTGCACCTGCACATTTTGGCTTCCTTGAGTGGTCTTCAGAAAGGAATTTATGCCCCTTGTCCTTTCTTCTGCCCTCTTTCCAATCACAGAGATTTCCCCGACACCGTGGCAAGTCTGGTGTGCGGCATAGCTCCCTCCCTGGTCCAGCACGTCACAGACAGTTGCAATCTTCAGGCTGGATGGCCCTCCTCCCTCACTTCTTGCTTTATACCTTTCGGTTATTAAAAGTGAGGGCCAAGAGAGTAAATGCAGCCCCGAGTCACCTCCATCTATAAGGTGTGATCAGAATATACACTGAATGTTTATGGTTGAAAAACATAGAGACTGACACATGGCCACGAATCCGCCCCCTTGCTTCAAACACCGAGCCCATCCTTGCTGCTCCTTTCTGAAGCAGTTCTAGAAATCGTCTTTCATGAATGGCTTTACAAGGTGTCATCAAAAACACAGTGAATGTCGCTTCCCAGGGCCGTCTAACAGAAAGTCAACCTCATAAAAGCATTATGGTATCTCCTTGTTCACCTGATCTGGCACCATGCACCTTCTTGTCTCCACCTCAACATCAGAACGACCATGCAAAGGGAATCTTTTGAACCCCTTCAGGACTGACAGCACAGCTGAATATAGTCATGAAAGAGAGTTCCTTCAGAAAGTGGCAAGAGCAATGGAATAGATGTGTTTGAAGCAAGGGGGGTTCATACCCAGGGGAATTAATGGTACTGTGTCTTAGTGTAATAAATTTTAACATTTTAGACATTCATTTCCTTTTTGATCACACCTCATAATTTGGCTTTTAAAAGGTGGCTTGCAGCAGGTCCCCGATTTATTTCCGTCTGTTCCATCTTCCAGGAGGTAGCAACTGGCCCCTGGCATCCCATCAGGGTATTCATTTTAAAAAATATGCCTTCAGAATTGTGTAGAATTACGGCACCTCAGAAAGGAAGTGGCTATTTCTGGTGAATGCTGTTCATTCTTTCCTGTGACATAGCCCTTCACTCTGTGTCTATTCTAATAGAGAAAAGGGGAAAAAAAAGTTTCCTGAAATACAAATAAACACACCTGTGTTGAGGCTGATGTCTGTAATGTTCTTCACGTGTAAACATATTTTTGCGGGGTTTCTTGAAACTTAAAAGGTTGTAAATCTCTGTTTGAATGAAATTCAGAATAGGAAAACAAAACAAAGCCTCTGGAGAGCCGTGATGGGTGGCTGTGTGCTGTGAGAGGGAGGCCCAGCATCCAGGGCAGTGGGCAGCGCGTTGCCAAGAAGTTTGTCTCGGGGCTGGGGGTGAAGGCTGGAGGTAGGCACATTTCATACGGGATCATTTTCTCCCGGAGCTGAAGTTAACGCAGCTCTTGACAATCTTGTGTTCCCTTGTAGAAGTATCTACTGGTGAACTTTTTCCTTCAGAAAAATAGGTGTTGGTATGGACATTCCATTTGCTGATTAGGAAAGAATGTTTCCATGAGTTTGTCTAGAAATAGGTGACTAAGTCTTGTAACTATACAGCTGGGAATGCTCAGAGTCTCGGAACTCCCTGCTGTGTCTCCCTTTCTGAAGATGCGACAAAGCCCGAGACTGATTATCTGATAACCTTGTGATTATTACTAGAGTGGAAGTCAATTGATAGTTTCAACAGGAAATGGGATCTGTAAAGCGACTCACTACTTAGCCCTGTTTGCAGAATTTTATTAAGGCACTGTCCACCGTTGCATCATACAATGGGACAGTTTTTATTTACCCTAGCATATAGACTTGATGAGAAAAAGTGTAAGGGACCTTATGTTTTGTGCTGATCTTTCTGTATGTGCTGTGGGGGAGAGAGTGGAAAAGGCAAAACAGTGACATTTACACTACTTTGTGACCGTGACAGGAAGCAGGGTGATGCAGAATAATTTCCTTCCACTTGTGCTGGTAAGTAACAGTGTGGAGACGGATCTAGCTGGTGTGTTTGTTTTTGTAAGTAGCGACTTCTTTTAGAGTGATCCAAAAATATATTTTAGTGCTTTGTTAAACAGTACAAACAAGGGAGGAAATAAAACCCCCGCTCTTTCCAAAGTATAACCCAAGACATTCAGCATACTCAGTTCCCAGCAGGTACTCCGTTGTTTGCTAAACACTCAGAAGGCGTGAGCCCTACGGTCTGGTCTGTCTGTTCCCTAGGGTTTTCACTTTCTTCTGTGGAAGAGGATGGTGTGCGAAGGCTGTATGTGAACAGTGTGAAGGAAACTGGATTAGCTTCCAAGAAAGGTAAGTCTAGAAATGTCTCCATCTCTTTTGAATTCTCTCTGGGTTTCCTCATTGGGAGATGAGAAAGATATGATCAGTGGGCTTATATAAAGAATATTGGAACATTCATTGTCTCCTTGAAAATCCACCCAAGGAATATGGGTTTTATTCCATTAACAGATGTACTAGGAATGATTTTAAACTCTATCCCGGGCCTGTTTCTGTGGGGCTGGTGGAAAATTCTGTTTGAATCCTGGGTGGCTGTTCCTGACCCTGTAGGAGGCTGTGGAGGGTGTCGCTGGAGCAGAGCTGGTGGGAAAGCCTCCCTGCTCTGGTCTTTGCTGGTCAAAGCCATTGCTTGAGTCTGCAAAGCTGCTCTGAAGCAGATGTTGTGTTGCTTCCATTCCTGGAGTCTGCAGAAATTAGAACCTAGCTATAACTTCGAGATACAGCCTGCTTGGCCCATCCTGGAGCTTCTTCCCTGTGTCCTCTCAAAGGACTCAGCATGTACTGGGGCTCCTCTTGGACCCCAGCTTTCTATCTTCTTTCTACTCTTGGAGAATCTTATTTTCCTAGGTGATAGGTGTTCCTCTGACTTCCAAGATTTCTTATAAGTTCTACTAACTGCAGAAAATCTTTGGGGTGGGGGAACAGGTTGCACCTATACTGAATTTGTAACTATCTTTTCCCCACAATGATTATTCTATAAACATTACAGTTGTTCACATAGCACTAGGTATCATGTGGAGGTGCTAGAAAGTATATGGAAGGATGAGTGTAGGCTATCCGGAAATACTGTGCCATTTTATGCAAGGGACTTATGCATCTTCAGATTTTTGTATCTGAGGGGACTCCTGGATCCAATCCCCCTACAGACACTGAGCGCAGCCTGAGTTTGCTCACTTCATTCGCTTTCTATGGCTACCATAACAAATTGCCACAAATTGAGTGGTTTAAAACCACAGAAACCTCGCCTCTTGCAAATGAGGAGGCTGGAAATCTGAAATCAGGGTGTTGGTTAGATTATATCCTTCTGGAACCACTTAGGGAATGTCTGTCACATGCTCCTTCCTAGCTTCCTAGCCACCAGCTGTCCTTGGCATCCCCTGGCTTGTAGCTCTTATCATCCAGTTTCTGCCTCTGTAGCTCACGACCATGTATCCTTCTGTATTTTCACAGCACCTTTTTCTAAACACACTGTGCTGGGTAACACTCACTCTAAATCATCATGAGTTCACTGTAACTTAATTTTACCTGTAATATTGTAATTAATTTTAATATAGTAATTATGTGATTTTCATTACCTCTACAGTATATGTGTGAACTTTCCCCAAAGACTGTCATGTCCTGATGCTCTGAGCAGTCAGGAATTTTAGGGGACACGAATCCATCTACCACAGTTACTGTGAACCGATCGGGTGGTGAGGCAGGGCTTGAGCCCACCTTCGTTTGTTTCCTCTTGTCTTGGAAGTCTTTTCATTGAGGCAGTGGTAGAGTAACTCACGTGGAGGGTCCGCAGCCAGCACATCTGGGTGAGTTGTGTCTGGATGTCATTACGTGGCAGGGAGTGGCCAATGGGGCAGCCAGGGGAGGAAGAGACCCCTGACCTTGCCACTCACCTCCGCGTTCCGGCGCAGGATAGCTCGGGATGGCTGTGCCTTGAAAGTCCCTGTGCAAGCCGCGGTGCTGCGTGCTGGTGAATTGGAGAAGCACAGTCCACAGCCCAGCTGCTCACAGAAACGGCCAAGGTGTGACAAGTGGAGAAGACATGCAGACTTCGCTTTTGTGCTAATGGCCGAGGAGGAGGACTTCCCTTCATTGTCCTTCGGGACTTTCAAACCCTGGAGGCCAAGCATGGCACAGACACTGAGCCCAGATGGTGGCTGGTGGCGTTTATTCCTCTTTGAACCCAGAGGCTGATCCTTATCTCTTTGGGCGCCGCGAGTGCCCGGCGTTGTGCCGTGGGGGTGGGGATCACACGGTGCTGCTTTCAGTCACATCCTGTTTTAGTTCTTTGAATCCGAGAACCCTGCCGTTTGATGGAAACAGGCATCTGCTGTGCCCCCTCCCCCCAGAAGCTGCCTTCTTGCCAACTGACAAGAGCGATGGGCCAAGAACACTGCTCCAACACTGCATTGGGAGGCTGGGCCGTGAAAGATATTTGGGGCATTATTAGATCCAGTCTTTAATTGTAAAGACACCCGTTCCCCGTAACGGAGGGTTCACTGTGCCATAATCCGCTTGGCGCATTACTTCTGGCTGTTAACCCTCCTCTCTTTCTGTTTTACTTTTCTGGTGGAACCTGATTCTTCTTTGTAGCCAGGCCTTGATACTGTGGTGCTCCTGCTATTAACTCGTGAAGTCTTTGCTTTTCTGGGTTCAGCACTTCCGAATCTGTTAACCAAATTCATTGGAGTAGAGAACAGAACTGTGGTCACTGCCCTTTGGACACAGCCCAGGTTGTCAGTGGCTCTGCTAAAATGACCAGAATGTGGCGCAGCCTGGGAGAGGCCAGCGGAATGCAGCCTAATAGGGACTGATTATTCTGTTTGCAATAATTTATTTAGCCTGCTTATTTTCTCTTTATTTTTGTCAAGCACATGGGGCTTCTGGATGTCCCAAATTACAATAACTACAGTTAGGCCCCAAATTCCATTGCTGTCTGCTCCCCACCATGCAGAGACTGCTCTTAATTGGACCTCCCATTGACTATACATAATAAGTTGACTTTTGTACCTAGCTGGGTTATTTTACATGCTGTCTGCTTTTGCCCTGGCCATGTGTGTTTTGGCCCATTGTGCAAACTCTTGGAGTCATCCGAGAGACATTCTAATTTTTCTTTTTCTTTTTTTTTCCTGATGGCCATGCAGGACACAGCTTGGTCAGAACAGCCCACATGTCATATTACTGTACACAGCATGAACATTTCACAACTTTTTCCATGGTCAGATATTATTTCCATGGTTAGTTGAGGATTATTTCTGAGCAGGCTACAGTTTCCTAATAGAAAGAAAAGCTTTTCTTTCTTCTCCTAAATATTGAGAGCTGATGTCTGTGGATATCTTCAGTGCGCCGTGAGTATGCTCTGAGTGCTACATGGATTAGTTCAGTTGCTTTCATTTAGTGTGTGTTTCCTTCTTAGGTCTGAGTTTGGGAGAGCTTCAGGAACAGTCACAGGGCCATGACACAGTGACACAATGACCCTGAGGAGGCACTTTACTGTCTCAACATTTGGGTAGCCTCCTCCTACTTATTCATACCAAGAACCAAATTAGATTGTACCAGGACTGTTTTTGAAAGTATAACATATCAGGCAGTCTAAAATAATAAAACTTTACTTTTTCACAGTTCTGGAGAAGCCAGAAGTCTTAACTCAGGGTGTCCACAAGGCCATGCTATTCTCATGGGCTCTCCTGGGGAATCCTTTCTGCCTCTGCCAGTTTCTGATGGTTCCAGAGGGTCCTTGGTTCGTGGCCACCGCAGTTCAATCTCTGTGTCCTTCTCTATGTGGCATCTTTTTCTTCTTGCTGAGCCTCTCTTCTGTGTGCCAGTATGAGCACATTTCTCCACAGGACCCATCAGATAATCCAGCATGGTCTTTTCTCAAGTTCCTTTACTTAGTTACAAATGCAAAGATCCTTTATCCTAATAAGGTCATGATGATAGGTTCTCACACTGGATATATTGTCATCCTACTGCATATTCATATTCTGGCAGTTGTACAAACCAACAACTTCTTTTTGAAAAATTTCATACATGCTTTTAGTGGTTAAGTCAAAAGACTTTTATCAGTCCTTGTATTATGTCTTGTGATATCTGATTATAGATACTTTAGCTGGCTTCCTGAAAAGAACAAACAACAACACCCCAAATCCTGCTTTTCACTTATAAAAACTGTGTTTTCAGACATTGTGATTCCCACATCTTTTTACCTCAAAAAATGAAAGTGGTGAGCTTCGCACGGGGACACAGTTTCTCTTGCCATCCATCATGTTTCTTGGATCGTGGGAGGCTGACTTTAAATATTTCAGAAACAAACGAGGGTTGCCAAAGTCGCGTCTCGGTGAAACTGGGAAGTGAGACTGCAGAGTCATTTTTCCACAGAACTGGGGGTGGGATTGCAGTGCCCGAGGAGCCGAGTGGCTTCTCATTTCTGTACTTTGCCAACTGTCCGCTTCTTTTCTTCACCCCGTACCCACCCCAGCCCAGCATTGGAGCTTGAACCCATGGCCTTTGCATAGAGCCACACCCCTGCCCTGTTTTATTTTTATTTTGACACAGGGTCTCACTAAGCCAATAAATCGTCCAGGCCGGGCTGGAAGGTGGGATTACAGGTGGTGCCACTGTGGCTGGTTTTGCTTTCCTGTGTTAATTAGTGTATCAGTAAGAAAGTTAGTTACTGTATCAGTTAGTAGTGAATCAGTAAGATTGGGTCTCCATTCTTAGCTAAAAAGATACTCTGTTTTCCTTCATGTTCTTCCCTCACCACTCCCTTTCTCAAACTTCTGGAATATTCCTTTAATACTAGTGTGAGTTTCCCCAGCATCAGTCACGACTTTCTGTTCCTCCAGGTCAGGGTTTGTTCTTGGCTGTTCCTTTGACTTCCAGACTCTGACCCCTCTCCCAGCATACTGTGTGGAAATATCGGGACACCTTTTGGGAATCTAACAAGAGATACTCACAGCCCTGATGTAGCTTACAAAAAGAGAGCAAGGGGGTAATACTGCATTTCTGTACACTGTTGCTTCTAGATGCACTTGGGATGAGACAGCCTTACTTGGGCAGTTCCATCCCGAGGGAGTTTATTACATTTTGGTTTCATGGAAATGACCAGCAGAGTTTTGTTCACTGGACACTGTTACATGAGTGTGTGTAAAACATACAGTTGCAGACCATAGCATCATCGGAGAAGAGCCGGAATTAGCACTGGTGGAGGACCTGCAGATTGAAAGAGAGGGGAGTTTGTTTAAGTGATTACTGAGTTCAGCGTGGGGATCCAGAAGCTTCTGAAGCCAGGCCCCTGTGACCACCTGATCCAGTCATAGCTGCACCTGTTCTGAGGTCTCTTAACAGGAGCACGTGCTGTCTGTTCGTTCCCGGCAGCACTTGTAAGATGTGTTCTGGTGTATGTGTGTGTGTGTGCACGCGCGCGCGTGTGACATTAAAAACTTTCCATCTTGCGTTGGCAGGCTTGAAGGCGGGAGATGAGATTCTTGAGATCAATAATCGTACTGCCGGGACGCTGAATTCATCTATGCTCAAAGATTTCCTCTCGCAGCCCTCCCTGGGCCTCCTGGTGAGGACCTGCCCCAAGCTGGAGGCAGGAGTGGAGCTGCTGGAGAGTCCGCCCCACCGAGTGGACGGCCCTGCCGACCTGGGCGAGAGCCCGCTTGCCTTCCTCACCAGCAACCCAGGTAGGCCATGGGTGGTGTCCCCAGCAAGGCCCTGGAGGCATGCTGCATCCTGCCCGCTGCCTGCGGACTTCCTCTGTCTGGCAGGCAGTGTGATGTGCGTGTACCAAGTGGGCTGATTACTGACCCTGTCCCTCCTGTGGAAATCACACAGGAGCACTCAACCTATGTTTTTTTCTTTCCTTTTTTTTTTTTTTTTTTTTTTTTTTTTTTTTGGTCATGGAGTTTGGTTACACATTTCCTTGTCACTCCTCAAAGGCTTTCTAGTACTTCTGCTCTTTGGAATTTTGGAGAAAGGTGGATGGCTGGAGGCTATGCACTGTTGGCTGTGGACAGAGATAAGGTGCTGGGAATCATAAGCTGCTGAGAGCCTGGGTCCTGCCTTGGCCTTCTCTGTTACCATCCCCAGACCTTCAGCCCTGCTTCTCCTGCTGTGTATGAGAAGCATATGAGTTGGGGTGCTGGGGGTGGAAATGCCTGTAGAGTTCTTTGGCCTGACGAATCTGAGCTCTTAAAGTCGGGACACTGGTCAGTCCGCAGGACCCCTTTCTCCATCCCATCTGCTGCTCTTCGTTTCTCTCCTGCTCACTCTGGCAACCTTGTGCTCACTCTGATGGAAGCAGCTTGAATGCTTCTTGCCCTTGGGCATCTTCCTGGGACCCCACAGAGTTTCTCCCTCCTCTGTGCTGCTCTGAGTCTACAAATGCCACTTTCCTGGAGGCAGACTACAGAGGTTGTTCTTTTATAAGACCACCAGGTGGCAGGCTGGATTCCACAAAGCGCAGCCCATGGGTGTTTCTCTAATGTGACAGTGTTGTGGTAGCTTATATTATTTTACGGGATTTTTAAATAAGCTTGCAACACGTGCCACAAGTAACAGTGGGCTCTCAACTGTCTTTAGAGGTTTTTTTTCTGTCTCTGCCCTTCCTGTGGGCCGAAGATAAAAAGCTGGAATTAGGAAACTACAGTCCACGAACAAAGGCCATCACCTGACTTATTCTTGTACATCAGATTTTCCTGGGACACAGCTACCTCCACTCATTCATCGCTTGCCGCTGACTGCATTTTCATTGCAGTGGTAGAGTAATTGTGACAGGGACAAAGTGTGCTGAACTCCGATATAAATAGGGGCTGAATCCTTTTTTTCTTTAAAGATAGTAATCTTCAATATTGTGGTTTACTTCATTCTTTAAAGAATTTTGTAGTATGTACACGTTCATGTATTTTTAATGCAAAGTTGCCTTGTATGTATGGATCTGTTTAAGAAATAACCTGCGGATATTCTGTACATACGCTGGCAGTCCTGTCTTTCATGGGACCAAGTTTAGGCTCATCTGGCCTTTAAATCCTATATGTTTAGACTGATTCTTTCCTTTGTGTTTTTTCGTTTCCCAGTGAAATGTTGAATGACCGTTTCTGTCCGGCCAGGACTCTGCCTGTCTGCTTTCTGGTTGCTTCCGCTTCCTGGACCCTGCTTCACAGTGAAAGATAAAAGGGGAAGCAAGTAAACAGGATCAGATAAGCCGTAGGATTGCTCCATAATGAGACAGGAAATAATGCCGTATCTTCAGTCGACTGCAGTTAAAATAAAACACAACTGAAAAAATTTGTACAATGGGCAGGCTGGACTGCAGTCTGGGCCTAAGTTTGGAAGTGGCTAAAAAGAAACATCCCAAGTGGCCGGTTTGTGATCTGGTGTGGGGACCACTGGAAGAGAGTCCCACTGAATCTTGGTTCCCTTGACTAGGAGTTTTGCAGTGAGCATCTCGGGGACCCTGAGGTTGTCCTCAGCCTGGCTGGTTCCCCTCTCCTGCAGGTTGGCCCTGGGTCACTTATTCTGTGTCTCAAGTTCAGGTGTGTGGAGTAGCGATCCTCCCCTGAGGACCCCAGGGGAGACATGTGATTCAGGGTTGAGGCTGAATTCTTTCTAGACCTCTTTCTCATGTAGAAGTTTGTTTTTTCTATGACGATGCGTCACAACCTGGTAGCTAAAAGCAGGCTTTTGAACCATTTCCTTGGGATTTGTGTACATTTTGATGTTAGCTTCATGACTTTGAACGGGTCTTGTGATTCTCTCTGCCTTACTGTTCTCTTCTTCTGTGAGATAGAATAACACTCTGGCATCTTGCTAAGTGGCTGTGATTATATGAGTTACTGAAGTGTTTAGAATAATACCTACCAAGTACTCAGTAAATGCCTTGTTTGCAAGGCCAGTCTTTATGGGGGTCATGAAGATTTTTTGGTCTGTAACCAGAAGTTTTTCTCCTTATCTTCCTGCCTTCTCTGCTTTCATCTGTGGCAGTTGAATTGCCTGGCAGTTAAGTTTGTGAGCTGTGCCTCCCTTACAGTTTCCTTCCCAGGTGGAAGAAAAGGAATTCTGCAACCTTGAATACTGAGGTCCCAGAGCCCAGAGCCTCCTGCCTGTGGCTGACACTGTTGTACATCTGCTGTGGTGGGGATTCCAGCCTTCCTGGGTGATTTGAAGTTCCTAGGTGGAATTGGGGGTCATTATCTTGGTCACCAAACCTTCCTTTCTGTGGATCCTGTTTTATTTCCTGTGGGATGGTCACTGGAATATCACGGTGACATTCCAGCCTAGTGTTTGTTAGTAATATTTGAGGATCTGCTTCCCTAAAGTTTGTGTGATGAAAATCCGTTAGCTGACTGGGCAGTGCATTCTCCTCCTGTTTTGATGGAAGGAGACGATCTGGTGCTCAGGTTTCCTTGAGGGTGTAGGAAGCGAGGGAATGGTGAAGACAAGTCTATCCCACACGTTCTCTCTCAGGCTGGGTTTCTTGTCTTTGGCCATTTGCCTGTGATTAGTTCTGGCTGAAGCGACTTTCATCTGTTTAGCGTCCTAAGTCCTTGTTTACACACATATTACTAGGATGTCCAGGACCAAAAAAAAAAAGTTCTCTCAAAAGCTGTTTTCTAGAAAAAAACCTGGTGGTGAAGGGGAAGTTTAAACAGGGAGTTACAGATTGAAATCTGCGTGGAGTTTCCAAAATGCCCCTCTTATGTTCTTGGGTGATTGATTTTTGACTGGTGATCTTGTCATGAATCTCATCTCTAGCAGTTTGGACATCTTGGGCCGGCTCATTCTTCAGCACAGGAGGCTGTCCTGTGCATGGAAGCCTACTGGATCCCGATGAGCCACTAGGAAATAATAGTTTCCAGCCTTATGCTGTGTCCAGTCAGAATATCTTCAGACATCCAACTGTGACACAGGTGGCAAAATCCTCTCGTCTAAGAATGCTCGCTGGGTTTACTAGAAGGTACACCTATATCACCCAGTTGGGGGAAATATTTCTATGAACGTCAACATAAGAAAGAAAATATAGACCTAAAATAATGTTACAAAGTTTTACAAAGCATTTAATGAGAGACTCTAAACAAACACCCCTTCCCAGCATCCCTAGGGCCTCCCCCACCCCCACCCCCCTTTTACAAGGGACTGAAGAAGAAAAAGTACATGCTTATTCTCACTGGTTGGCTTTTTCACTCAAATAGGAGTAAAATAATTGAGTAATGAGGTGTAGAACATAAAATTCACAACTGAAATGAAGGTATTTCCTTCAGTAATTATGTATAAACCCAGCTTTGATACAAATGATATGAATCGTAGTTCAAACGGCATCCGTGGAATCTTTCCGGGGTTTCCAGTTCCAGCTTTGAGGCTGCCGTTCATTTTTGGGGCGAATGCCACACTGTTGTGACCTCCCTTGAATTCTACTCAGCCATTCAAGATGAAGCAGGTGCCTTGGTTTATCTCAGCAAGTACTTTACATTACTGTAATAGAATCACCTGGCACTGAGATTGCTTCTTATTGAAAAATGGTTATTCTTGCATTTGAGCAAAAGCAAGCGGAGTGGCTGTGGCTGACAGCAGGACCACAGCCCGCTAGAGACAATCAGAGTTACAGCCTTTGATGAGCCCCAGGCACATCTGTCTGCACTGAGTGGAAGCTTATGGGCTGCGGTGAGTACAGATGTCCCTCCTGCAGGAAGGAGATTAAGCAGTGTTTGTGTAACAGGAAAGGCTCTCTGATTGCCATGAAAGTCCAGGCACCTTGCTTTAGAGTGAGGAATTGCTGCCTCCAGGCAGGGTAGCTGTTAGCTCTGCCCTAGCAGCCCGTGCTTCTCTGGGGCTGGATTCAGAAAACCCAGGCCATCAAGCAGCGGGAGGGGTAACCAGGAAAGAGGGACTGTACAGATTTCTCTTCCTGCAAACAAACATGGCCCAGTGTTTCAGATTCCCTGGAGTCTCGCAGATCCCAGGCAGCACATGGTCCCTGTTTGTTTGTTGATAAAATGCAGGACCATGTGTGCCTTGGAAACTGTATCTATGCTTTTTATCACTTAGCATGTGGCCTCGATCTGCCTGCCCTTTTGTGGAGGGGTGAGAGCGACCCAGATGCCAGGTTTGACTTCCAGTGCAGTTCCATCAGTGACACCTGTCAGAGCCTGTGTGTAGGAAAAAGTGTCATTTTGGAGACTAAGAGCCCCATTCTCAATTTTTTTTTTTTTTTAAACCGGTACCGGAGATTGAACTCATGACCGCCTGCTCACAAGGCAGGTGCATATGCCACTGAGCTAAATCCCCAGTCCCTATTCTCAATATTTTTAAAAGCTCAGTAATGTATCTTAGTGAGCTTTCAGGTAACATCCTAAATCTACAGTTTTTATGGAGTTTGAAATTTCTACAGGAAACAAAGACCCTGAGATTGTGTGAAATCAGACTGAGAAGTTAATTGTCCACTTAAGTTTACATTGTCATGCCTTTTTTCATAATGTGTATGCATATTTAGCTCTCCCCAATTTATATATTGTAGATTTACTCTATAACAGTTTTCATGTTTTTTTAAGCTTTGTTAGAGGGGTTTATTTTTATCTTACATATTATGAGTGTTAATACAGAATTCTTATCATTGTAACAGTAAGTTTGATCTCCAGTACCAAAAAAAAAAAAAAAAAATCATAACAGTAACAAAATAAAAGCAGAAATAAAATAGTATCATAATAATTGAATCCCAGCTGAGCATTTTCATTGGCAGGCTGAACTTTTCTTGCCCCACCCCAATCATTTTCCCCTTGGCGGTTTATACTCAGGTGTTAATAATCAGGCCCTCTGCAAATGTGTGCAATGGGGAATCTTCCTGACACACATTGCTCATGTATCTGTCTCATCAGGTGAGATGTATTTTTTGCTTCCTCCTTTAAAAAGTCCCCTATGCTCTTGAATGAAGCCAAAGTGAATCTGTCTAATCCAGGTAAATAATAGGTAAATCTCAGTGTAAACTTACCCAGATGTGTTTGTTCTGCTTTGAATCTCATTGTTTGCTTCGCACTACCTATGTGTGAGGTGTACTAGCTGCAAAAGGTTTTTCATCCACAAAATCATGGAAGGCATTTAAAAGGCAAAGAAATGATAGCACCTGTTCACAGCAATGAGTGTTAACTCCGTGTTTTGAGATGGCCAGTAGGGACTGTCCTCAAGGCCCATCAGGCCTGCCCCTGGGTTCTGCGTTGGGTACTGCCAGCCTCCTGTTCATGCTGCGTCTCTGCAGGTCAGCCCTGCTTCCTGTGCTATGGGCGCCTCTTCTGTGCTAGACCCTGTGTGTGTGTGGCATGGAGCTGGGCATGTCCCCCACTCTGAGTACTTCGGCAGTGCCCTTTGGGGCTTACTTTTGGCTCTTCCCTGTTTGACTGTTAGCAGTGCTGTCCATCAGCACACTGTTTCCTGCTAAGTAAGTGGAGGTTAGATTAGAAAAAAGAAGTTCGTTCCTTCAGTGCCCATTGGCAGTAGAAAGTCTCTGGTGGTAAATGGGAAGCTGGAAAGAAATGTGCAAAACTGGGTTTGGGTGGAGTTTCCAGAAACACCCAAGAGTAAGCCAGGGCTTTTGAGAGAAGGTCCTAAGGTGTGGGAGGGTGTCCATGTCCTCTGCCATTGACTTCTCCATTCCTGCCATCCTGGTGTCTTTCTCCAAGTGTGCCATGGTCAATTTTCTGCCTCTTTCACTTTCTTCCATCACTAGATTCCTGGTAATCATTTAATGATTATCTGGGACAAACTTCTCCAAGACAGCTTGTTTGTTCACCTCCTACTCTGTGGCCCAGGAGACATGGCTGTGTCGCAGGTGCCTCAGCAGCTGGCTGTGCTCACATGCTGGGTGATTGGTCAGCGCCTATCCTTGCAGCTTATCATCCTGGCCAAGAACAGGAACTGCAGAGGTCCCTGAGGTTCTGGCTCAGAACTCATTGTCACCAAAGTTGCATTTTTCTGGACAAAGCAAGCTACAAGCCCAGCCTTCATTGACAAGTCTGGGACTAGGCATGGAGTCTGTGCTTAGGGGAGTAGAAGGGGCCACCTGTGTCATCTTTCCAAACTGTCACAACTGCACTGTCCTTTCTTATTCTCTCCTGCTTCCATTTTGTTGACGTTTATCTTTAGTCAAGAGTGAGCAGGATGACACAGTAGGCAAAATACACACTGTAGAATCACATATACTTAGCATTATTGATTTATATTTTAGATATTCATAATTTGCTAGTTATAAATATTACAGATAACTTTTCTCAGTGTAAAACTTATCTTTTTGCACTTATGCTACTTTTTGATAAAATTTTAAAATTTTAGTGAAATATGATTTTCAATCTTGTACAGTTTGTACTTTAGTGTTTCTGAGGATTGAATCTAGGACCTTTGCACTGAGCTACATTCCTAGACTCCCAGACCGTTTGATTTGGAGACAGGGTAGAGAGCACAGCCAGCTGCTGAGGCACCTGCCAAGTTACATGCTCAGGCTAGGCTTGAACTTTTAATTCTCCTGGCTCAGCCTCCCAGCGTGCTGGGATTACATGCATCACCATATCCAGCTACTTTAAGAAGGTCTCTTCTCTGAAGCAGTGAACATCATCTTCTACATTACTGGTTTTTTTTAGTTTTATTTTATTTCTAATTGATACGTGATACATGTTTATGGGGTACAGTGTGATGTGATACCCACATACATAGTATGATACTTAAATCAAGGTACTTAATAAATCTGTCACCTGAAACATTTGCCATTTCCTCTCTTGTAGCAGTTTTGAAATATATGATGCAATGTTCACTGTGTTCATCCAATATGTTTTCTGCTAAAAAGATACACAGCTTAGACTGCAATCTGGTTATACCTAATAGCTACTGACTTCTGTGAATGGTGTACATTAGGACCCAGTGTTGTGTGTCTGCGTGGGTAGTCCAGGGTCCCACTGATCTGCCATGCGTGGCTGCCGTGTCACACTCCCACACATGGGTGCGGCTGTCTCGCTCTCTTAGCCTGTTTTGCACTGTGGTATTTTGTCATAACTTTGTAATATGCTTTGTAATATGCTTTGGTGTCTCATAGGGAAAGTATCCCAATCTTGTTTTTATTCTCTGAAACTGTCTTAGATAGAATTATAACCATCTTTTATCTTTTTGGAAAAAGTTAATTCCAAGAAAAATGCTGTGAGTGGGATCTTCATTTCCTATGACAGGACATAGCCTCTGCAGCGAACAGAGCAGCAGTGCTGAGACTGCCCCAGACGAGACCGACGGGCCGGACTTGGAATCCTCCGATGAGACAGATCACAGCAGCAAGGTGAGAGATTTTCATTTGCACATCTCCCATCTTGAACCACCAAAGCATCACAGCTGACATGCCACCTCTGCTGCTAGATGAGGTTCCCCGGCCTCTCCAGGGACCTGCATTTCTACATGTTTTCTATTGTGTCTCCATCTGCCTTTACATATTTTTGTAGAACTTCTTTGTTTGACTATCTTAAATATCTGTTTTATTTTATTGTATTCCACTTTTTGAGACAAAGTTTCACTATATGGTTCAGGCTGGCCTTAAACTCACTTTGTAGACCAGGCTGGCCTCCAACTTGCAGTGATCCCCCTGCCTCAGCCTCCCAAGTGCTGGGATTATAGGAGTGCGCCACCAAGCTCAGCTCTTCAATATCTCTTTTACTCATATTTGTTTCTTTCCCATACGGTTACTATAGGATCATCATTTTTGGTATCTTTTTAAGTTGAGCACAACATAAAATTTAATATTTGAATGTAATGTTAATATTTATGGATCGAAAGGTGTCATGTTCCTTGCAATTAGTTAAAATGCCCATCAGTAGAAATGTAAATCAAAAAACCCCAAGAAGCAAAACAAAACAAAACAAATTCAAACCAAAACAAAAAATGCCTGAGTTGCTTTTTATTTTCATGGCCTTTAGCATACTTTCACACACTTTCGGGAGGAGAGGGCGGGGCAGGATGGAGGGGGTCAGGAGCTCCCAACAGAACTAAATATTTCTGTTCTGATAAAAGGAACTGTGAAGGGTGCTTCTTAAGTTATTTTATTACAGGATTTAAAGTGTTGTTTTCTTTCTTTTTTTCTTTTGGAGTTGGTGGTAGTTGAACCCAGGACCTCCCACACACTAGACAAGTGCTGCTTCTGACCTCCATCTCTGGCCCTCAAAGTACTGTTTTCAGTTTCTAATAGGATTTAAGAAAGTGGCTTTCCCCCCTGTATCTAAAACATCTGTTACAGAGTGCTTTTTAGCTTGAGTCCTTTTCACTGCACTGTACATGCTCTGTGTCCTTGCCTCTTTGTGGTTTTGAGAGACTGTTGCTGTTTTAAGCACAGAGAGTTGTGAGACCCTAGTGGGTCCTGAGTGGTAGAAGATTCCAGCAGATTGGAAGAGAAGGCCCCCGGGACTTGATGACCGACCCCAGGGGCTCCTGTGACCCTGTGGTTCCCTTGTTAGAGAGCAGGGACTTGGACTTGATTGGAACAGAGAGGGTCAAGTGTCCGGACAGTTGCTGTTCTTGGTGTGCCCTCCAGTAAGTTCCCTGTGAGCTTCCTGAGAAGGACTTCCTTGCAGTCAAGGAGAACAGGGCTGAATGATGATCTGAGTATTTTTAAAGATCCTACAGTGGGCTGCACTCACACACCCTTTCACAACACTGAACTTAAGGAGTGCTGTGTAATGCTGTGATTCAGATATTGGAATCTGGCCTTACTGGAAATATTCTGTCACGCAACCCATTTTAGCTAACCATGGCTTTTGATGAATTTCATTTCTCACTTAGACTGTATGAAAGCAAAAACTTTAAATCATACTAGCAGATCTTGGTGGCAGGGCCCCACTGTGCATTATTAATAATAAAGGAGAAGTGATGCTAGTTTAGCTCAGTAGTGTAAGTGCCTGCCTGGCAAGCGCAAGGTCGTGAGATCGATTCCTGGTACCAAGAAAAAAAAAAAAAGGGTACTGTTCAATTTTAACTCATTTTAAACTCACAGCACTCCAGAAAGAGATGATTTTATTTTTCCTATTTTACAGAGAAAAATTTTAGCGTGGAGAGGGCAAGAGACTTGCTAAAACTCACCCAGCTCTTTGGTGGTGAAACAGGGTGCAAGCAAGGCTTAGTCCAGACCTGGATAATAAATCTACCTTCTGGTCAGATGGCTAAGGTCTGCTGTTAGAGAATTAAATTAGAGGTTTTGGAAGCCTGTTAGAAACGCAGCCACAGACCACTGTGATGTCTTCCTGAGGCTTGGTCTTTCTGAATGTCTTTTTTTAATGATGTGACAGCAAGCAAACATCTTAACTCTCTTGACCAAGCCTCAGTTGTCGTTGCGTCTCTTGTAACAGTCTATAATTTTTTTAGAATAAAGGAAATATTAATGTTTTACATAGTGTGCTGCCTACACATGGAGCGATGTACATACATTTGCTGGGAGCAGAGGTGTAAATAAGGAAACAAATAAGAACAAATACTCACTTTTTATTCTGGGTGAATACATGAGGCTGCTGATTTTCATGGTGGTTTAGTCCTTCTTCCTAAATGAGCCGTTTTCCATGATCTTAGGCAGGGTAGAGAGTGCATGTTGGAGTTCTCTTATGTTTCTGGGCTTTTAAAAAATGACAGTTTTTGTCACATGTGTCTGTTACGAGTTGAGTGAATACCTAATTGTGTGGTGGTTGTTCAGGGGTGGTGGCCGGGGAATGGCTTGACCCTGGGGTGGGGCGGGACTGTCACAGCCAAGCACAGTCCAGTGGCTCTCTTTTTCACCAGCCAGTCCCCTTCTGTGGTGACTGTGGTGACAGCCTCAGAGAGCCTTATTTCCTCTGACCATTTGTTTCCCAGTCCTGGCTGCTAATGGAAAACTTGCGTTTGGAACCGAATGCTAATAATGCAATCAGCTCCGGTCAGGAGAGTCTGGAGTAGGCATTCCAGACCCCTGGCAGCTATCATTTTGCTTCCCGTTGAGCAAGCGTATTAGACTTTTTTAAAATCTAAAACGACTGCCTTTGTAACTATGGATTAGCATATAATGTGTGCACATCCCACTGTGAAGGGAGCGCCTGTGAAGTTGTCTGAACCCCACAGGTTTAATATTCCTGGGCAGAGCAGGATGCTGGCCAATCAGCTGGCCCCGAGCGGTGGGGGGTGGGGGGTGGGGGGAGACAAGGCGCTGCTCCTGACTCTCCTGAGATGGGCTGGGCTTTGCTTTCCTGCTTTTTTGTCTGCCCCTTTCTGGAAATTTTGTTGTTTAGCCAGGTGAAATCAAAGTAGGAGCTCTTGTCTGTGGTGTAGCCTCTGACAGCCCCCAGAGGGCAGGACAATGGGAGGCTGCCGCTGGTAGCCGTCCCTGCACTGAGATGTGGCCACAGGCTTTCAAAAGACAGCTGGCATTGGGATGTCCTCGGGAGGAGATGCTCTTTGCAGAGCCGGGGGGCCTTTGGTGCACTCTGGGTATTTTAAGAAACTCCTGTTTCCGTGCTCAACATATGAGGTGGTAGAAGTAATTACCATGAGAATATATTCCTGACGATGTCTGCACTATGGAAAATAAAGCGCAAGCCCAGGATTGAAAACAGTGACAAGTCTGGTGACTCTCTGTATCGGACACTTCATCTGGTGAGCACACGTTTGCTGTCTGAATTCTTTCCAACCTTGTTTATGGTAGAGTTTTCCAGTAGTGGTGATTATATTTGTTCTCTCTCTCTCTCTCTCTCTCTCTCTCTTTCTCTCAGCAGGTTTTGGAGGGTTAGGGATCAGTAGTTGATGTGCAGTTGAATTTGCTTGGAATCTTTCCATTTATCTGTTGTTTCATACTTAAATGGCAGAAGGATGGACCCCCATGGTTTGCATTTGTAAGACAGTAATCATCGTTGTAATTTTTCCCCCTTTCTGTTGATAGTGCAGTCAAAGAAAGTCATGCTGTCATTTGAGCATGATTCTCTTCTATCCCCATCTCAGAGTGGGAACCCAAAAGTCTAGGGTTGAGATTCTTTGACTTTATTTCTGCTGATTTGAGAAGGAAGTGGATATAGAAGGGTTGGCTTAGGAGATGTGTGGATTTTAATGTTAGCTGACCTATTTTGACAGATCAGTTTTATAGTAAATCTTAAACTCGAACTGAGACATGTGGCAAGTTAATGGCAAGAAATAATTTAACAAAATCAAACCAGACCTTTCAATAGCTTGTTGCTAGTAGCACTATCTGTCAACTATTGAGTTTGTGTCATTTAATGAGTCTTATACTTTGACAGTGAATTTGCCTGATTTATCCAAGTAAGTCTTTGCCCTTCTTGGATGTTTTTTTTTTCTCAGTTTGTGTGGGAGGAGCCTGAAAAGGTGATCAAGACCTACAGCGGCTTCCCAGGTATACAATGGGAACTAAAATGATGAAGTCATTTCTTTGGTGTTTGTCCCCTCCAAAAAAGCTTAACTAAAAGCTGTAAGATTTTAGGCCACTCTTGCCCCTTTTAAATCTGTGGGATGTGTTAAATCGGTCAGAGTCAGGACAGCTTTAGAACTCAGCTCATCTGGAGACAGAAACTGTCTTTAGTGGTTGCATAACAGGAAGCACTTGAAACAGCTGGGTCTCTTAAGTTGATAGTGTGGCCTGAAAATCTGCCCCCCTACTCCCTTTTGTACTTTCTTTTCATCTTTCCCAGGAGGGAAGGAGATATAAACATCAGGCTGCATGCTGGCTCAGTAAAATGGCCTATTTTCTTTTACCATTGTCCCTGTCTTCTCGGCATGGCTGGTGGATGATTGGATGATGCTGAGTCCTGACAGCAGCGTAGCAGCTCAGCTCCCCTTAAACAGTTTAAACTCACCAGTGCCTGGGAGTGCTCTGGTTTCCAGGGTGACTGATCATAGCCCTCACGTGGAGAGAGACTTGTGCTTTCCCTGCTTGGCTGTCTTCCTCTTGCAAGAGTCCTTAGTTAATTGCCCACTGCCTTGAGGTGGGGCTTGCTGGAGCATTCTGGGAACCTCCCACCACAGCATGCTGGGAATCTGCCACTGGAGCTGCCTTGTTTTGTTGGTGGCTACTGTGCTTGGTGTGTGCGTGATGGGGTTGCCGCCTTACCCTTCATGATGGAGCGGTAGTGGGACACTGTTCTCAGTTCCCCTTACCCGGCTTCATGCCCACCATATGTTGAGAAGATTGTCATTAACATGGACTTTGAGCTTAAGTAGAAGTTTGGTCATGGCCTGGGTGGTAAGCAGATTTGAAAGGTGACCTCAATGGGCAAAACCCCTAGTTAAAAGGTTATTCCAGAGAAGCCTGACGTGCCACACTTTCTGAAAGAACACTGGAGGGGGGGGCACGATGTTAATTAAACTCTCAAACTTTATGAAATCTTTTTAAGTTGATTCTTGCAAAGCAGAAATTTAAGAGCCTTTCAAATAAAACCCCTTGACAATAGTTGTATGTATTATAACTTGGTACTACAGTACTTTTTTACTCTTTATTCTAATTCTATGTATTAACAATAGAGATCACATCCATTTGGACTCAGTTCCTGGGGTGCTCCTGAAGTCTGTACCCTGAGACAGTGAGTAGAGTTGCCAGTAGAGATGCAGCCTTTTCTCACTGGCTTAGGAATTTGACTACCAGGAGATGCCTAGGGCTCTAGACTTTCCCACCAGGACCCCAGAGAATTGTAGGCAACCCCTGAAATATGAAGGATAGAGTAGTCCTCCTTAATTGTGAGGGTTACATTCTAAGACCCCCAGTGGGTAGTGCCATGTTTATTCTTATATATATGTACCTGTGATAAACGTTATAGATTAGACAGAGTAAGAGATTAACCACTGTTAACAAAATAGAACATTTATAACATTGTAAAGTATAACTATACTGTACTATGATATAAGCCATATGAGTGTAGTCCCTCTCTATTGAATGACCAAGACAAACACTGTGGAACCTCAGTTCATGAATGCTTTTGTGTGTGAACACTTTGGTTTGCAAACAGAAGCATTTAGCACAATTTTGTTTATACTTGGGAATTCTGTATTGGCCGACAGGCATGATCACGACCATCTTGAATGTAAACATGGCCATTTTTTCCAGAATCATAAAGTGAATTAAGTTTGTGAACCAAAGTCCCACCATATATTTTCTGACTGCAGGTAACTGAAACCTTACAAAGTAATACTGCAGGTTGAGGGGAGAAACTATAAACCAGAACTGGATGTGGGGGTCTGCATCACCCAGTGCCGGGGGAGGGGAGGAGGAAGTAGCTTAGTGGAAAGCACTGGAAACCTGTGCACCCCAGCCCACGGGGGTGCTCATGCTGCGGGCACTGCACCTCCGAGGTAGTAGACTTCACACAGGCCGGGTCAGCTCCCAGCTGACACTTGCTCATTTTACTGAGATGTCAAAAAATAGTAACACACCAGCATGATGAGAATTGAAGGCACAAGGGGAGGAACCTTTTTGGAATTCCTGTCATGGATATGTGTGGGGACCCACATTTTTAACTTTTCCCTTGTGTGACATCGAGAGATGTGCTTGACACAGGCATCCCATGGACAGTATATCTAAGTAGTAGCAGTGTGGTTATGTAAACACACTTCAGGGAAGGTGTGTTGGTCACGAGTAGCGGTATCACTGTTGATTTGCATGAGGGACAGAAAGCTGGGGTTACAGAAGGACCCTTTAGAAAAGTACTGTGTGAGCAAAGGCATCAGTTGTACCTTTGTTTTATTAGGGTCCTGGGCTGGGTATCAAATGCAAGCAGAAAAGGAGAGTTCGAATTAAGGTGAAGAACAGGGCAGTTCGTTGTTGATTGTTATCAGCATCTGTCCATAGGATTTTCATTTTACTCAGTGTACTTTTTTCCTCATCACAACTGTTTATAATGAGTTCATTATGTACTGTGCTTATCTTTGGCTCATCAAAAGGATGCTTGAATGTTTTGCTGAAATGAGTATATTTATTCCTTCTTAATCTTTAAAATGCAGCCTTACTGGACTCTCTATCCTGCAATGCTGCTGAGTTATTAAAATCGTACCCTAACTAAATAAAACCATCACTAGTGTCCACTAAAATGAGCTTAAATGAGTTAAAAACACATACTTTCTCTTTTTTTAGCAGCCTTATTTTGAGATATGATTTATATACCGTACGAGGCAGCTCATTTGGGTGAATTTTTCCAGTCACCTAAGGGAAAACTCTGTGGGGATATTCAGTGTCTGAAACACATAGTTATGTAGAAAACATTAAATAGCACCACTGACAGGTGAGTTACCAGGGTTAGTGCCAGCAGTGAATAAGCCACAGTGATTATATGATAATTTGAATTAAGTATATGGATTTGGGTCTTGGGTCTGCTCTTCCGTAGCATGATTCTGCTGCCAGACCATCCTTGTTAGGCTCTGATTTCCTTCCCTGTTTCTGTCTTTATCCTCTTTTGCATATGCTAACTAGGGGAAGCGTCCTCAATGCTGGCTGCTTCTCTGGCCCACATGCAGTGCTGACCTTGGTGTGCAGCTCTGTGCCCCAGATACTGCTTTGGGAAAGATTCTCATGTTCTTCCCAGGCTACACAGAAGGAATTCTTACCCACACCAGTATCTACTTGGAAATGTGGACTTTGTGCCTAGGGTTGACTTAGAGGATCCAAGCAGGGACAAGAGCATGAAGACAGCCACTGTCCTTCATCTAAAATTTATACTGAGGTGTTTTTGGGGCAAATAAGCTAGAGTTTGTGCTACAAAAAAGCTTCTGGAGAATTCTAGGAAGAGCCTTTTAAAATAATGATAGCTTACACATCCCACCACAGAGATTCTGATGGAAATGATTTAAAGTGTGCACTGGGCATTGGGATGTTTAAAAATTTCTCAGGTAGCTGGGCGTGGTGGTGCACACCTGCAATCCCAGCACTTGGGAGGCTGAAGCAGGAGGATCCCTATGAGTTTGAGGTCAGCCCGGGCTACATGCTGAGGCCTTGTCTCAAAACAAACGAACGAAACAAAACAAGCTCCAGGTAATTCTCATGTGCTCCAATGCAGAAAACTGATAGATACCACTGGTTCTGAAGAACAGTTGTACCTTACTCAGTGGGCTAGAATTTCAGAATCCAGAATTTGAATAGGATAACAACATTTTGGAGAGCCTGCCAAAAATGATCCTTGATCATCCCCCATGGAATTTGAGTGGAGACAGAGCAGAGACCTTTTCAGAGCCTGTCCCTCAAGAGCATAGGAAACATTTCTGTCTATGGAGAATCTGGAGAGGAAATTCTTTACTTCTTCAGTGTGTGAGAACTGTTGCAATCTGGAGAGTTGCCTGTCTCAGTGTTGGTTTGTAGTGGAGACAAGAAGACATTGCCCTGCCATATTCCAAATAAGTAGATGGAAGGACTCTGACAGTTAACTGCAGTCTGTGTGAATATGGTTAACTTCTCTGTCAGGCTCCCCGGGGGTTTACCCATTTCTTGTGGCATGGTTAAGACCACAGGGTTTGGGGTAGGCATGGCAACAGACACCTGTAATCACACCACTTGGGGATGCTGAGGCAGGAGAATCATAAGTTCAAGTGCAGCTTGGCTAACTTGACAACTTAGTGACTTTACAAAATTCTTTGTCGAGATTTTAAAAATGGTGGTGGTGGAGGGGTACTGGGAATGTAGCTCACTGTGAAGATCCTGGGTTCATTTCCCAGGACTTAAAAACAACACAACAAAACCAAAACCAGGCTTTGGTCTGAGCAGGAAGCTCAGTGGTAGAGTGACTGCCTCTCCTGCCAGTCCTCAGCACTGCCCTGCTCTCCCTCCCTAAAACAAACAGCAGGTTTTGAGACCAGACTGTTTGGTTCAAGTCCTCACTCTGCCAATAACTCTGTGCCATTTTAGGTGAAGGTCTTAAGCTCTCTGGGCTTGTTTGGAAGTGATAATAACCCTTCCTCACCAACCCCCGACGTGCCCTGATGTGACCTAGCACTTGCTATGACAGTGGTTTTGAGCATTGTTGGCCTCTCAGAGGAGCGGAACGACTTGGGGAGCGGACGTAATTTGTACCTGACTGTCTGCCGAGCAGGCAGAGTGCCTTGCAGAGAGACAGGAAGGGACATCACCACTGAGGGCTAACACCTGCCTTGCCTTTCCCGCTGTCCTCCCAAGAGTACAGAGCAGGTGGCCGTGTTTTGCCGCAGTTTGCACGAGATGAACCCTTCTGACTCCAGCCCGTCCCCTCCGGATGCCACGGGGCCTCAGCTGGCCACCATGAGACAGCTGTCAGACGCGGACAAGCTGCGCAAGGTCATTTGCGAGCTTCTGGAGACTGAGCGCACCTATGTGAAAGTAGGTCTCTATTTCCTGGGCCCCTCCTGCTGTGTCTGCTCTGCTCGACTCACAGCAGTGTTTGGGTGTGGGGCTGAGAGTATCCAGCCCTCGTTTTTGGAATCGGGCTTTTATTCCAAGTGTTAAGATCCCCTCTTCCAGTCTTGGGGGATGAGACGATGCAGGCCTATAATACCAGCACTTTGGGAGGCTGAACCACGAGGATCACAAGCTTGAGTTCATCCTGGCCAACTTAGTTAACTTCGCAAGATGCTGTCTGAAAAAGAACATAAAGAAGGGCTAAAGATGTAGCTCAGTGTGAGGACCTGCTTAGTCCCCAGTACAATAGCTAACCTAGCAAGCTTTAAAAAGTTAAGAAAGCATATCAATTTTTATAGCAATTCATTGCTACATATGTAACTTATGCAGGAATTTATATCTACCTATCTAGTTGACTTAGTGAGTGGAATATAGTGACTACTAAGCAGCTTTCCAATCTTCCTAACTATACACAAAGCTGAATCGAATACTGGGAACATCTGAAACCCCGCCTTCCTTCTCTAACTGGAGTTGAGGTGGGAGGCTGTCCAGCCTGTTCTCTCTGTATTATTGCTTGCCCTGATGTTGACCAGTGTTCCCTACATGAAAGGATTGTGATGTCTTTTTAATTATCTATATTTTAGTCTTCAAGTCAGGGCTGAGCAAATTATGGCCCTCAGGCTGAAGCCAGCCTGCTGCCCATTCTGCTGGAGCCTGGTGTCACTTCCGATACCAGCGTCCCCATCTGCTCTAGGATGCAACAAGGTGCGGTGGGGTCACTGTGGCCATGTGGCTTGCAGAGTCTGAGATGTTGACCGAACAAGCAGTCTTGTTCCTACATGAATAATTACTGTGTTGTTAGTGTTTGGAACATAATCTGCTCTCTCTTTTTTTTTTTTTTCTCCCCTCCTTGAGGTTTGTTGTGCAGACTTTCTTGGTGTGCTAATGAGGTGTCCTTTGAACTTTTAGGACTTAAACTGTCTCATGGAGAGATACCTGAAGCCCCTTCAAAAGGAGCCTTTCCTCACCCAGGATGAGGTATGATGGGCGTGGCCTCACCTTGGTGAGGGTCACACTGCACACTCACTGCCTTGCTGCTAAAGAGGAAGGAAGGGGGACACGTGTAATCCTGAAAGCACCTTGAACCCAAGGATTTGTAACAAATGGGTCAGATATTGCCTGTAAGCTTTGGCATGCACCGGGAGAATGAGACTGTGCCATCCTTTGGCACTAGGCTTCTTACCCTAACCGATCAGTACTGTTTCTAAACACTTAGGAAAGATAGGGTGGGTACAGTTCTTTTTCATTTTTCAGCTTGATGTGCTCTTTGGAAACCTAACGGAAATGGTGGAGTTTCAAGTCGAGTTCCTTAAAACTCTAGAAGATGGAGTTAGGCTGGTACCTGATCTGGAAAAACTTGAGAAAGTCGACCAATTTAAGGTCAGTCTTAATGTCACAGGTGCGGCTCCCTCCTGGACAGAGTGGAATTCCCCAGTGGCCCATGGTGGGGGCCTTGTGCTGTTTTCCAGGGGCTGCTTGGTGGGGCGGTTACTAGAGGCAGTCAGAGTGGGCTCGTCTTGCTTGTGTGGATCAGGAGAGACTGACACCATCTACTTGCATTAAATTGGTTCATCTGCTGGCTTCTACTCTGGAACATGTGCCAGCCTTGACCTTCTGTTTTGTTTATGAGCGAGCCTTTAATAAATTAGCTATTAGCAGATTAAAATAGCACTTCTGTTCTCCCAGTAAACAAATTAGTGTGTCCGTTCTGGGGAAGTTCTCTGGCTGGTAATGCATATGTATCATTATCCAGGAGGGGGGCAGTCCACTAGCACACGGTGTCCTTGCAGCCTTAATGAGGATTTATGAGCAGTGCCTTAGTGAGTATGCTCATGGTTTAATCCCTCTGTCCTGGTTGGTTTGCCTTTATTGCAGAGATTTCCTATTTCGAACTTCCAGCTGACAAAACACATTGATTCATGCATTGGCCTCATGCACGTTTAAACAGATTAATAACACATAATTGACATATTATGCAGTGCATATATTTAAAGTATAGTGTTTCATGAATTATACACAGATGTCTCCATAAAACCATCAATACAACACGGCCAGGCCTGTGAATTGAGTCATCCCCCTACGAGTCTCTTCCTGTGTCTGCGATTTTTCTCTCCTGCTTTTTACTTCCTCCTACCTGCAGGCATCTGTATTCTGCCTCCTGTTACCAATAGATATGTTCAAATGCATGAGTTTGGATAGAATTTGTGTTGGGAATTAACAGTGCCCACCAGCTTGTGGGAGGCCTTCTGAACTCTAGAGATGATAGCACTGGGGAAATGTGTTTGTGTTTATGTGTCCCCCAAGATCCAGCTTTAAAGCCAGAAGACTGAATGGATCCTTAGTGTTTTATCTGTGGATGATGTATAGTAAGTGCATATATACTCTAAATAAATAAATGTACATACTAAATGTGTGTGCATGTAAAAATGCTACACATATGTATATATACTATATAACATATGAATGTTTTATATAATAATACATATATTTGTTATGCACAGTCATGTCTATTGAGTTAAAGCTGGGCATGATGGTACATGCTTGTCATTCTAGCTCTTGGGAGGCTGAGGCAGGATCATCATGAGCTTGAAGCCACCTGGGGCTACCTTGTGAGATTCTGTCTCAAAGTAAACAAATGAATGCCATTAGTGTGGCCAGAAGGCCTTTGTCATACAGAGAGCATTTTCTTCCACTGCTTTTTGTGCTTAATCCTTGAGGGAGGCTTGAAGGATAATGATCTCTTCTCACAGACTTAGATGTCTCCTGCTGATGCCCTTCTGAGTAGAAGGGTTGGGAAAGTAGAATATGTAGGAAGAAGATGTAGATTTTTGATACTAATTATGCTGATTATGTTGGTCTGAAGCAAACTTTGTTTTGATCGCACACACTCAGACCTTACTGTGTAGTCGATCAGCTGCATGGTGAGGACCCAGTTTATCACTCCCTCCAAAACCTTAACTGTTTGCTTGGACCTAACTTTTAATCCATGCCTAAATGTCCAGAGCTCCTGTCTGAACAAGACTAGAGTGATGGAGGGATGTGAACTCATGAAGAATGTTTTCCTGAGGCTCATTCCCTCATTTGTATAACATATGTGTGATGGAAACTGTCCCATGTCAAATGTGGTCAAGTCTGTCCTCTGGGTGCAGGCCTCCAGTCTGAAGAGATGGCGCCTAATTCCCACAGTTGGGCACATTTCTTGGTTGAACAGCACATGTTCTTCTCTGCTCCTGCAAGGAAAAGGGATAGAGCAGGTCTGGGAGAGAACAGATGCAGTGACCAGTGTTTTTCACTTTTGAAAATGTGAGCATTTCCTACTTTTACTTGGCTTGTTGTGTCTGTGTCCCAGCAGAAATCCATGCGAGAATTGAGGAGATGTTGGTCTTTTGCAAAGTGTATTTTTTTTCATCAACACTCCAAGCCTCCCAGAGAGGTCATTGGAAGAGATAGGGCTGGGAAACCATGGGCAGCACCACTGTAAACACCTATGGCAGAGAAAGGCGGACAGGCAGCGATGCCGCTCTGTGCGGAGGGGAGGAAGCCCTATGTCCCCTGCTGCACCAGAGATGCCTCTAGCTGGGGAGGAAGATGAACCACTGTGCCTTTTCTCATTCTCTCCAGAAAGTGCTGTTCTCTCTGGGGGGATCCTTTCTGTACTACGCTGACCGCTTCAAGCTCTACAGTGCCTTCTGCGCCAGCCACACGAAAGTCCCCAAGGTCCTGGTCAAAGGTGAGTCCCCCTGAGATGGTGGCAGACCCAGGTGCCAGTTCACATTTATGTTTCTGATTATGGTTGCTGGTCTTGAGAAGAAGCCTGGGAGGCATCATTGTGCTAGAAAGAGATTCCAGCAAGCTGCAGATACTAGTAATGAGCAGTGACAGACATTAGTGTATTAACCATTGTATCAGTTTCCTTGTAATGAATGCTTTGACTTGGTCATTCTGGGACAGCATTGATAGGTCATTTTGTAGTTTTATTTAAAAAAATCCCTGCTTTATGCTTGTTTTTCATTAATAAAGTCAAGCTAGTTCTCTTAACCTACCACACTTCAAATACCTTTTGGAGGAGTCTCTTCTTTCTTTTGCCTATTTTTGTCCCTAGGTGTATGATAACTGCTAATGACATCACGACTAAAGTGGTTTCAATTATACACTAAAAATTGCTCTAGTTGGGGGCTGGGGATTTAGCTTAGCGGCATAAGCACCTGCCTTGCAAGGAGGCAGTCGTGAGTTTGATCCCCGGTACCGGTAAAAATGAAAAAAAAAAAAAAATTGCTCTAGTTACAGTTATTTTTTACACAGAACAAAGTAGAATTTTTGTGTTGCCAAGATACTTTTCCTTTTATATCTGTGCCTTCTTTGGTGGTGCTAAGGATCAAACCGAAGGCCATGCTAGGCAAATGCTCTGCCACTGAGCTGCACCCCCAGCCCTGACACTTTCTTAAATTTGTAAGGAGATGGTGAAACATCCTGAGAGTCCCCAGAAAGCAACTGTGTTTCCATAGAGTTGGTGATAGGCAGAGTTGATCACATGAGAGCAAAAAGTAGAATTATTGTTGTCAGAGGCTGGGAAGGTGCAAGATAAGGAAAAGGTTGGTTAGTAGGTTAAAAAAGAAAATTACGGGGGCTGGGGATATGGCTCGGCGGAATCACACCTGCCTGGCAAGTGCGAGGTTGAGTTTGATTCCTGGTACCAAAAATAAATAAATACATTTTTAAAAATGAAAGAAAAGTACAATTAGAAGCCGGGTGTGATGGTGCATGCCTGCCATCCCAGCACTTTGTAGGCTGTGGGCAAGTTTGAGCCCAGCCTAGGCAATTTAATGAGTAACCAAAAACCTGCCCAACTAAAAAAGGGCTGGTGTCTGAGTTTCTTTGCTCATTGCTGAGGTGAAATACTTGACACCCACAAGTGAAAGAAGGGAAGGTGTACTCCAGCTTAGTGTGTAGAGGTTTCAGTCTGTAGTTGTCTGGCTGCAAGGCAGGATGTCATGGCAGAGGGGCATCTCAGAGGAGAAGCTGTTCACAGCAAGCTGCAGCAGCAGCAGCAAACCTGCCTTCCTTCTCTCCTCTTATACTCCATGTAGGCCACAAGTCTGTGGAGTGGTGCCATCTACACGCAGGTGGGGGGCTCCCCTTAGCCACCCCTTAATGCCAGTATCGCACCCTTAATCCACATGCATACACCCTAAGCCATTCACCTTCAAAACTCCCCATCTATGACCACATGATGCTTTGGGGGGCATCTGGACACACGCCACGACAGCTGAGCATGTCGGTGAGTGTGAAGGTCCCGGGCTCAGCGCCACCATAAAATAATAAATAAAAATGTTTCCCACTAGAAGAAATCAGTTTAGTATTCTATAGTACAGTAGGGTGACTACAATGAAGAGTAATACAACACGTTTTAAAATAACAGGAAGAATATCGTGCCTGCTCCTGAAACAGAGAAATGATAAACGAAGTGATAGATATGCTGATTACTCTGACGGGATCATTACATCTTGTGTATATTCATTGAAATATCACAGTGCACCCACTCACGAATGTGTCTAGTCGTTATCTATCTAGTTTAAAAATTCCATTTCTGTTGAAGCAAAAGGTTTTCATGAGTCAATGTAATACATAATATATATGAATAATCCAGTAATATAAAGATACCCCTCCCCGCCAAAAGTATTACAGAAACATTTTCTTTGTAAACTGTAGAATCAGTAGACAGTTTGGTTTCAAAGAATCTCTGGAAATCAGGCTGTTACTTCTTAGCGTTTTGCTGTGGCTGCCAAGTAAACATCTGCTAATCAAGTCCCTTGATATGTAAATAATTTCCATGTGTTATGCTTGTGTTTGCTGCCAAAGAGAACTAGCTCAACTTAATTTAAAACCTATTAGAGGAAATATTAATATTATATGGGCCTCTGGGTAATAAAAGAGCCTGTCCCAGAAAATGGTAGACTTAATGCTAGCTCAGTCTGTGTAACAGGATTCTAGAAAGATCCTTGTCCTGCTGTGGGACCTTAACCACATTTTCATGTGTGCTGCCTTGGTCATATGGCTCTATGTGTAGGTTTCTTTGAAAACTTTTATTAACTGCTGCTTGTTATCACATTGTTAAAGTAACTGTTTTAGAGAACTTTGCTCCATGTGAAATTATGTAACCATTACATTTCTTCCAGCAGTTTAGTGTTTTTTAAAAATTACTCAGTTAAATTAAATTCTACTCTGATCGCTTTTTCTTAATTCAAGAACATTATTTTTTTGCACCTGAAAAATCTTACATTAATGTTTAAAATGATCCCTTGAAACAGCAGGTGTGACCCACATTTTCCTAATCGCCAAATGAGCCAAGAGTGTGAAGAGATTTCGAGAACACATCTGGGTTCCTGACAGACTCACAGCTGGGTTCAATGGGGCAGTATCCTGCACACCCTGAGTGCTGTGAGGTGTACTCTGTGAGCTCAAGTCCCACACCAGACTTTGGACTTGAGGGCTGGTGGTGTGCGGGGTGGGGTTCCTAGGCTTCTTCTTGATGTGGTGGAAGCCACAGCTTCCAAGTGCGTTGGCTCTGTGCCTGGTGTGTAAGCCAATGGGCCGCTCACTCGAAATGGCCTTTTCCTTCAGGGCTTTCTTTGAGAGGAGCAGAAGCCGCCTGGACTCAGGGAGTCTGATTCCTTTTGATAGGATTTAAAAACAGTGAAAAGATTATCATTTCTTAAGGTCTTCCCCCATGATCACTTTTTTAAAAAACTGAATAAAAACAGAAGAATCACTTTGCAATTTCATGATGTCCTAGTATAATATCCTTGGAGTTGTTAGCTTACACTTCTAAACCCTGGTGATGGGGAGGGAGGGGAACACACACACACACACACACACACACACACACACACACACTTAAATATATGCCTTCTGGGGTTTTAAAAAATTGTTATTCATTTATTCAAGGGCTGTCTCAGTTCCTCCGACATGCAGATGCTGTTATAAAATGCACTGAATCCCTAGAGAGCAGCATTTAATTTCTAATAGGCAAAGTCACCTAGATGAATATGTAGATTCTGAATGTGAAGAACGAGTTTGTTCAGAATGTTGATCGTGTTTGCTTTTCAGTTCACCCTAACAGATACAACTCTGGAAGAGCCAGATAGAAGGGTGGCATAGGGCACAGTACAGGTGAGGGGGCGGGAAGCCTATGCACTGCTCTGGGCAGGTCGCCCTGCCAGCACCAGCATGGATGTATCAAGCGTCCACTGTCACGGTCCCTTAGGTGGATCTTTCCCTCTCTTCCCAGCATTGCTTTGTACCTGGAAGGGACTAGCCGTGTTTCTGGTCATCTAATGGTAGATTCTTCTCTGCTGGCCTGGGGCCCCAGCTCCCCAGGGCCCAGCTGGGACACAGATGAGAGCAAAGCTGGTGAGGAAAGTGCTGCCAGAGCTCAGCTCGGGTCCCCACCCTGTGGATGCTAACTGCTCACCAAGGCAATACTGAGTTGACATTGAACAGATCCCGAGGGAGATCAGCTCCGCCCCACATGCCCACAGCTGTTAGGGTCTGCTGCTTCCGTGTTTTCCTGATGGTGTTCCAAAGAGGGTCTTCCAGTGGTGAAATGCGCAGAACCTTAGGAAAGCTGGGGTACGGCATGTTTAACATACAGACTTTGCTGTTATTCAGAGGTGGCTAGGCAGGTGGATCAGAAGGTTGCCAAGGCTTGTCCCTCACAGTTCCCAGGGCAAGGGCTTCCCCCAGGGGAAGCTGCAAGGTCCATCAGAAGGCTGAGGAGTATAGCAGAAAGTGGACAGGAGCCTTCCTATAGCTTGTGGTGAGCGATGAGTGGGGCTGAAACCCAGGTCCACCATTTCTGGCTTGGATAATTTCTGCAAGCTCTCAGATCTAGTAGATGCTAAGATGTGTCATGCCAGGTCCCAGAGTGATGGGGACAGGAGAAAGTGACAGTATCAGAGGCTCATAGAGGAGGTGGCCTCGTGTGGGGACTCTGAATTGATGCTTGCAGGCAAGTCCTTTACTGCTTTTAGGAACTGACTCGTCCTGGGAGGAGTCTCCCCAGGCTCGTTAAGTCAGGACCCACATGTCAAAACATCAGCACAAAATGGTTTGCATATTATAAGGAGGAGAAACAGCAACCCCTAAACACCTGAACCCCTGCCCCCCTCCTTCTTGTGAAGGGGGCTACTTGGAATTAGCACATGTGAGTGGGGCAGTGCAAAGGGAACCACCTGACGGTCTATCTGTCTTGGTTACTTTTATCTCATTGCTGAGACAAAATATTTGACACCCAAAATGAAGGAAGGAAAGATTTATGTAGTTCACATTTTGTGACAGTTTCAGTCCATAATCAGCTGGCTCCAAGGCAGGGTGGCATGGCAGGGTGGCGGCAGTTCATGGTGTGGAAGACAGCAAAGGCAACAGAGCAAAAAGGGAGGAGCATGGAGAGAAGACTGTTTCTGTCCCTTATATTGAATGTAGGCCACACTTGGGTGCCGCACTCATACCCATAATCCCAGCACTGGACCATGAGTCATCACAAACTCAAGAAGTTTAACACTGCATGAGGGACATCCAGGGGGACATCTGGACTCAAACCATAATGCTGTCTAAACCCTTCCAGCCAAGACCGACACAGCTTTCAAGGCGTTCTTGGATGCCCAGAACCCGAGGCAGCAGCACTCGTCCACGCTGGAGTCTTACCTCATCAAGCCCATCCAGAGGATACTCAAGTACCCATTGCTGCTCAAGGAGCTCTTTGCCCTGACCGACGCAGAGAGCGAGGAGCACTACCACCTGGACGGTGAGCAGGCGTCCCTGACCTCCCCTTGCTCGGCCCTGAGAGGCTAAGCAGCCTCTTCATTTCCACCTGTGCTCTTCTAGTGGCCATCAAGACCATGAACAAGGTCGCCAGTCACATCAACGAAATGCAGAAAATCCACGAAGAGTTTGGGGCTGTGTTTGACCAACTGATTGCTGAGCAGACTGGTGAGAAGAAGGAGGTAAGGAAGCCTTTGTCTTGCCATGTCTTATCTGATATTAGATTTGCTGGCTTTCTTTTAATAAGGTGCTTCCTGCAGATGTAGTAGTCATATGATTGATTACGTTGGTTGAATTTTGTCCTTTGTCCAATGCTACATTGTGACTTTTCTTTTCTAGCTGGACTGTTTCTTCACTTGATCTTAGCCAAAAGGCCGAAAATTGATTATTCCTTAATATATCGGAAGCTCAACATTTAGCCTTTGGGATCTATGCTTGTATTCTAAGCTAAATGTGAAGATGAGCTCTTGTTATCACAAGCCAGGCTATTTTAAGACTCTGTCTTCATGGTCAGAATAGCATCTGGCATATGAATAGGTGTTGGATAGACCTTTATTGGATGAATATAGGTTTCCAGTGACTGCTTTTTTTTTTTTTCCAGTCTATTAAAAAACCTCTATAGAAGCAGTGAAAGGAACAGATACACCTGCGAAAGGCTTAGTGGGAACTAGTCACTGCCATGATCTTTCAAGAGTAAAAATGCCTTCAAGCTGAGTAATATGTGATGATCCCCCACCAGTGTGCACCCAGATCTGGCTGGAGCATTGAATCAATTTAGCTTTACAGAGAGAAAGACAGAGACAGGGATAGAGAGACAGAGAGAGAGAGAAAGAGATACTGAGGTTGAGAGAGCTGGGTGGGAACTGTGAGTTCACAGCCTGGCAGAGGTTAGGAGGGGTAAAGCAAGCAGGGATTGGTGGTTTAGTGTAGATTGCAGAAAACCCCTGACCTTCGGGAGATGTAAAAGGTCACTATCCAGGTTCAAAAAGAAGTCCAGTCACTATCCCTAAGTCATCAAGATGTAAAAATGAACACATGATGGAGTTTGCCTTACCTTTTTTTTTTTTTTTTTTTTTTGAGACAGAGTCTTGCTATGTAGGTCAGGCTGGCATTGAACTCACTATGTAACTGGAGTGGCCGTGAACTTGTGGCCATCCTCCTGCCTCAGCCTTCTGAATGCTGTGATTAGGGGAGTGCACCACTCTCTTCCTCTTCCTCTTCTCTTACTCTTAAAATATGAAAGACTCAGTCGGGTGCTGTTGGCTTCACCAGGAGGGTCAAATGTGCAGATCTGTGTGGGGTAAAGAGATGTAGAATTGTGGGGAAGATGAGGTGGTTTTTTTTCACAGCTGGAGAAAATCCATGAGGCCAGTGCCAGACAGGGATGGGATTTGAGTATCTGTTCCCAACACCTTGCAGAGTTGCAGAGCTGTTACAGACAGTGTAAAAGGCTGGAGTCTGAGAGTCCAGGAAGGAGCACTGGAGAGGACATGGAGTTTTCAACCAAATGCTCTATCTTTCACCTCATAATATCAGGAGCAGTGTGGCAAGGTTTTCAGCCTCCTTGACAGATAATTCAGTTCCTCAGTGTGCAGAAGAGATGGATGCTGCTACCTTAGAGTTAGTTTTCACTGTTTTATAAAATATTCTTTATTTTAAAAAATCTTTTTAAAGAACAAAATATAGAAGAAGACAAAAAGGAGACTGTAGTCTCAAAAGACAGCCTCTGTCATTTTGGATGTTTTGGCACTGATTTAGAAAAATTAATAAATACGGGTATGCTAAAATATTTTCAAAGTAATTTTACATCTTGATTTTTGCCTCAAATGCAAAATGTTCCCGTTATTTTAAATTTGGGCGTGATATTTCATTGTGTGGCCAAACCCTGATTTATCCTTAGTTCCTATTGTTGGGAAAATTTCTTAGCTTCATTTACTGACTCCTAATAATACTGCAAACATTTTTGATTGTGAAACATCCCCTTCCTCTTTTTTTCTTTCCCATTTTGACAGAAGCAGATTGTGTTGGGTGATAGAATCAACATTTCCATTATATATACGTATTTTAATGTTTTCATTATATGCCAGGTCAGCATCTGGATTTTAATGCCCTTGGGAGAAGGTGACACTGTTGCCAGCAAGTGGGTGGCAGAGAGAGTGGGATGCAAAGCATGTATAAAAACAAAGATGAACTTGATCAAAGGCAGAGGTTCTGGAAAGGAGTCTAACTTAGGCAAACCTGGAGGTTCTTTTGAAATGAAATCTGGACAGTCAAGTAAGCAGCCTGTCCAGCGGGGAACAAAGAGATACAGAGCTGCACAGAGCACTTCCCGCTGAACTGAGATTATAAATAGAAATGTGCAGAGATAGAAGGAGAAACCCTTGATGAAATGCCAGTATTGAAAGAGCAGGAAAGTCTTATATTGCTATCAGAAGATTCACAGCCCAGAAAAATGGAAGTTTGGGGAAAATGTCAAAAGAGAGCAATAAAAGACTATTTTTGCAGGCTAAGACGAGCCAGCAGCAGGAAATAGGCCCGTGGTGGAAACTGATTACTCAGAAGCAATTGATTACTCAAAGGACACAACTAAACTGCCATCTGATTGCTTTTTTCCACTGAGGAAAATGGTCTCGAAACTGGCAAGAAAGTAGTGGCTTAGATTGCACCAGAATCAAGCCTCAAGGAGAGCAGGGCCTGGAGGGAGGGTGTGACGATACACACCACGACCATTGATGAGTCTATACTGCTGCTCGTAGCAGTGTATGCAACAGGGCTGGTGATCCTGGGGCGACTTCTGACGCTTGTGGGGGTGATTCCTTGAGGGTTCCCTTTAAAGGCGACGTCCAGTAAATACTTAGAGTGGACTTAGGAACGGTTGGCAGACGGTTAGGAATAGGAACATTGGTCGGTAGCTGCAGATTTCTGATGCCCTTTCCTGTGGGCTCTGTCACTGCCTTCGGAGGTGTGGCAGCCAAACTAGCTCAGGTTTCTTCATTCACAATTTCATGGACAGGACATTTGTTCTCCGCAAGCTCAGCCTGCAATGTTCCCTCCCTTATTATTTTGAGAACTTTCACCTTTTCATCGTAAAGGGCGTGCTTGACAGCTTTTCTCTGTCATAGTCAGATTTCCAGCATCAGTATTCTTGTGCTTGGAGACGTTTACTGAGTCAAAATAAGTGTTACTTTAACACAAGCACCATGATAATGTGACACTTAGTCACCAAAACAGCTGCTAAGTGACCGGTGGGCACAGGAGGTAACCTGGGAAAAGGAATAGTTTGTGTCCCAGGCAGGAGAGAGAGACAGCATGAAATTACGTTGCGTTAGTTAGAGTGGCATACAAGTTAAAACTCACGCGTAGTTTATTTTCAAGAATTTTCTATTTAGTGCTTTTAGACTTCAGTTGGCCATGGAGAACTGAAACTGTGGAAATGGAAACCACAGATGAAGGTGACTGTAGAGTGGACTGTCACTGGGCTCTCTGGGTCGTCATATCCTGCTCCACAAAAGAGCTAGCCTGAGACACTCAGTGTTTTAACTGTGGAGGGTTCAGGCTATGACTTGACTTCATGATCTCTGAGAATTTCAGTCCTCATTTTGCATAGTGCTGTCGAAGTCTTCAAACTCCTCATTTAGCTTTTCTCTTCCTTCTGTGGGGTAAAATAAAATCTTTAAACTGCGTTGGAATGCTTCCTGGAAGGCCAAATCTTCCTGAGATCCGAAATGTCTGAGATTTTGTGGGTAGATCTTTCTCATTGATAGCTATATCTGCTTGGAAAACAGTCTCTACTTGAATATAAAATAGCTTTAATTTTGTAAATTGGTTTTGATAGATAAGACTGAGTACGTGTTTCAGAACCCTGGCTCTTACCATTTGGTCATCTTATTCTTAAAATTCAGGTAGACAGAATAAAGGGAAAAATATGTGCAATTTTTTTGTGTGAATCCCATGTTTCTTTGGTAATGTAGAGGATTTGGTCTTCAAGTTGGACATTTTGTATGAATTAAAGATTTTTTTCATTAAAATGTCATCACATGGTTGCTCAAACATGGCAAAACGTCGTGATGCTATGAGTTGGTATTAGAAGAATGGACATTATGGTATCTATCATCTGTTGCTTCTAGTGGAGATGGTCTTTTTTAGATGGTAGCAAATGGAGAGTTTTTAAAAAATGTTACCTATCATTTTTTGTGCTGTCTTTTATAATTCCTTTGTTTACATTGACAAAAATTATACAGGATGATCCTCAATTTACAGTGAGGTTGTGTCCTTACAAAGCAGCCTTAAGTTGAAAAATCTACAAAAACCTTTGTTTGTTCATTCATGCTAGGGGTTGAACCTAGAGTCTTGCATATACATAAGCAAGTACTCTACCAGTGAGCCAAAACCTTAGCTCCCCAAATTTATTTAATTCCCCAATGACTCCATCATAAAGTTTAAAAACCTAAGTTGAGCCATGGTAAGTTCACTCACCGACCCGGTATCTGTGCATGTTATTTTGTTATATGTATATGTTGTGGAATGGCTACACCAAACTGTTTAACTTCTGCATTATACGTTGTATCATGTACTTAAGTAAGTGTTTTTAGGATGGATATTTTCACAAAGTAAATTGCCACTAGCCTGCTATATTTTAAAACATCACGAAAACCTGAGCATGAATCCCTTTTCCCAGTAAGGTTTGCTGTATGTCTGGTCTACAGGTTGCAGATCTGAGCATGGGTGACCTGCTCTTGCATACCACTGTCATCTGGCTAAACCCACCAGCCTCTCTGGGAAAGTGGAAAAAAGAACCAGAATTGGCGGCCTTTGGTATGTATTGGAAGAGGGGGGTTTCGAGGCATGGGGAGAGGCTGGCTTACTTTTCAAAGCAAGAACATTTCTAAGTCGCGGTTTATTAAAATAAAGCTATTTATAGTTTTTTGAGGGCATATTCCTGCTTTGGCTGTCACCTTCTTACAAATACTAAATTAAGCCTCTAGTTAAATATGCATGTAGTACCCAGCTACTTGGGTGGCTAGACATGGCAGTGCCTTAGTCTATTCCAGGTAGAGACAGACAGAAATTTTTTTTTTTTTTGCTTCTAGTCCTAGCAAATATTTCAAAATAATGAATTTATAATAAACCAAGGAAAAATACAATGAGTGCTTAAGACAAAAATGTTTCTGTTTCTAAGATCTCAAATCCTGGATTTTAAACTTTTCTCCCCAGCTCCCTCTTGCTATATATCGTCAGAATTTATGAGGTTAGTGCTCAGCTGAGCCATTGGTGCAACTCCAGAGGCTTAATCAGCATGAGCTGTATCACAGCTAGGTTGATACAAATAGTAGTGACAGTAGACAGTTGATTAATGATTTATATTTTCAATAATCTATTTTGGATGGATGCAGTTGCTGCAATTAGAGAGCTTGTGATTGTTTTGTATTAATATGTTTTTAGAGAGAGAGAGAGAGAGAGAGAGAGAGAGAGAGAGAGAAAACTATGGGTTAGTATGCCAGGAGTTGTGCATAATTCCGGGAACAGCTTATGGCTTGCCATCTCTGTGCAGCATGATGCAGTGTTGTTCCCAAGCGCAGTCTGCAGCCCGTGCTTTTGTTTTGTGTTGCCTTTTCCCTACCATCTCCCTAGCAAGTTCAGGGATAGGAAATATAGCATTTATCATCTTCATACCATACAGTATTCTTCTGAGCATGGGGGTTGAAAGGTCGCTTACTGCTTCTTTAAGCAGAATTGTCTTTACCCTCTCTGTAATGTGAACAAAATACTCCCAAATGGAACTTCCTAGGCGTGTTAAAATCAGATGCTTAATGCAAAGATTGATTGCGCTTCCTACTTGGACCCACTTAGCCTTCATTGAAAAATTAGTCATGTTCCCAAAATTTCCCAAGAGCCTTGAAAGCTGTCAATGAAATTTCACTAAGAATAATGGAAGAACATGTAAGTGTACTCAGAAGACATGTGACCAAGTGGAGGGTACAAAGAAGTATTGGGGTGTTAACCAGCTGACAGTTTTTGATGGGGGCGGGCAGCACTCGCTTTGTGCTCCCTGTGCTGTGATTTCTTGGAGTGGCCTGGGATGTCTGACCCTTCTCAGTGAGTCATCTATGGAACTTAAGTTTCCCAAAGCAGCTACTTGTTTCGGATGCTGAGCTCTATGCTAGCAGTTCCAGAGTGCAGCATTAGAACATTCCATTTTTCCCGTGAATTTTATGGACTTCGTATAGTTCTAAATTAGCCAATTTACAATAAGAAAATAATTTGAGTGGGAGAAAGTAGGAGCAGGCAGATGTTTTTCCATTTGGGGCTGCATAGTAAATGTTGGGCATCAGGGATAGTGGGCTGTGTGCTTTGCTGTTGTAACCAAATAATAACAGAATGAATGAGCCGGCTGTGTTAGCAGCCTGTACTATACAGGCAGTGAGCAGATAGACCTGGGTTTGGTCCAAAGGCCCTAGTAACCCATGGTAAATGCCAGTAATGAAGTTTGGGGTGTTAGGTGCCACTGTTCACACGGTAGACTCAGATAGGACTGTGCGTTTGTGTTCCCTGCTTCCTGGGTTGCTGTGGGAGGCAGGTGTCAGATGACTCACTCCCAGGAGTTGGGGCCCCTAAATAAATGCTGTGTATTCCAGCTCCTAAGTACCCCGGAAACTTCCTAGGGGCTGCTCTGTGGTAGGAGGCAAGCTTAGCATTATTCAAGATGTTCTTAGAGTCACAGGAAGATAGTAGCAAAGAGAAAGGAAAAAGATTAAAGTCAGGCATGGGAACCGAGACTGCCTGTGGTCATCCTAATGAGCACATTTGTGGATGAGTCTCAGGCAAGATCATTACAGGCAATCCTGTTGACTTTCCCTGTGATTTCTAGGAGAGCGGCAGAGCCAAATGTGCCTTCCAAACGAAGCTTTGGACTTCAAGGCGGGGCTCTCTTTTTGTGTTTTTGCATAAATCTCTAATTTTAGGGAATAGTTCAGCTTTCTTCTGAAACTGACCTTGACTTGCTGCCCGCCCAGCACCTGGATTTTTTGTGCTTGGAATGGCTCGTGTGTGCTGAGTGTTAATGACCATTACCTTAATAAATGAAATACAAGCAGAAGTAGCTTGCTCAGGCTTCTGCATGGGAGGAGTTAGACATTTGCATTTTAAGGCTCAGAGTAGGTCCTGGAGGCTGAGGAGGGAAGCCAGGAGTCCTGGGAGTCAAGTCCGCTTTGGAAGGGATTGGGTGACCCCTTGCAGTTCATCTTGGTGAGGTGGAGGTGTTCACTGCCCACATCCCAGTGCTAGGCCAAGGGTTGTTCTCTGTTCCCCTTGGGCTCTGTGGTGGGGAAACTGAGGCAGACACATTAACCTTCTTAGAACCCAACAGACACTTGAACGGTAGCTCCAAGGGTATAGCTCCAAGGCCTTCTGAGACTAATATCAGTGGATCCCCTCTCCTGAGACACAATTCTGTCCTTTGTAAAGAAACCCAGTTCTCCTGGCCACTGTGATTTCAGATGGCCTCTTGGTGTTACCAGGGTTTCCTTGGGTTGAAGGTACCCAGTGCTCTGCAGAGCTGCGGTGGCCTCCATATGGCAGCAGGAACTTTGGAAGGAGGCCTCGTCTGTCCGAGGCTGGAGCAGTCTCTTTGCCTCTTTTATTCCACAAGCTGGGGATTAGGATAACCCCACACAAGGGAGGACGGAGCTGTTCTAAGTAGGGTAGAGAAGGAGCTGGATACTTCAGGGTGGCATCCGGAGAACCTGGAGCCTGATGGCTCATCTCTGAAGACACAGAACTTCATTCCCTTTTAATTCTGTGTGTGCTCTTCCACGCTGTCCCTCCTCCAGCCACTCTGTGACAGAAGGGATGAGCCTTCCGAAGGGCACCTTCACGTGGCGGAAAAGGCGGAACTCGTCTCTCTGGCCTCTTGGATAAAGATACTGAGAGTGTTCATGAGGGCAGAACCTTATGACCTCATCTCTTCCAAAAGACCCTGCCTCCTAAAATATCACAGTGGTGATTAGTTTCAACATAGGAATTTGGGGAGTCTTACACATTTAGTCTACAGCAGAGAGCTGGGCTCAGAGGACTGAGAGCGAGCTGGTGCTAGCCTTCCCTCCCTTCTGGGCAGCAATTCTACCTCCCCCAGGAGGAGTCAGAAGCACTGTGTGCCAGGCATGCTTGGCATTGCTTAAAGTATTCTCTAGAATTCTAGAGACTTGCATAACTCCGTTGTGTAAAGCCATTGTGTAACTCCATTGTATAACTCCATTGTGTCTCCGAATGCCCTGAAGCAATAAAAGAATGAAACTATACATTCAGTTCTCCTAAAGAGCTTACTCTGATTCAAATCTATCTGAAGGAAGTGGGGGTTGCATTCTGTTCCATAAGTGAACAGTCATTTCTTTAGGTCAAAAATATGAATAGATTTCCTGAGTTATGCACATGGTGTGTAGGGTGGGGGTTGGCTTAATTTCTATAAAAGCAAATCACTCAGCAATTGTATTATTATTAAAGATATCTATATTATTCCTCCAGCTACTAAATTAGCAGCTGCATTTTTGTTGAGTATGTTTCAGCTTAAATTTTACCTTAGAATACTATAGCTAAAAATACTTTATCCAGAAGTTTCAGGAAGGAGCATGATTTGCATGTATTTATGCTCCATTAGTTTAGGACCTTGAAAATTCTGCCTCCGTAGTCTGTTGACTTTCATACATGACGAATGCGTGGAACACGGGTGGGCGTCGTTACTTGGGGCTCATCTTCTCCCTCCTGGTAACTCCCTTGCTAGCCCTGAGTTGTCCAAGAGGGAAGCCCCACACATTTTGTGCTGTAACTATCTTTATTTCATTTCCTTCCAGTCTTCAAAACCGCTGTGGTCCTCGTGTATAAAGATGGTTCCAAACAGAAGAAGAAGCTTGTAAGACTCTTTATTTCATCCTCGGGCTTGCAAATCCCTTTCCGTGTAGTTCTCAGTTGTATCTGCTTAAATCTGCTGGCAAGAGCCTTTTATGATTTGTTTGCTCTGCCTTCCAGGAGGCTTCTGCTTGGAGCCTGAGATGGACAGCTGTCTGCTCCGCCCGGTGCCCAGCACTTTCTCAGCACTGTTTCCCCTTTTTCTGTGCCCTAGTTCTTACACGTTGAGATCTGCTCTGGCCTCTTCTCTGCCTCTTTAACACATTTGCTGGCAAACTCATTTACACACCCTCAGCATATTCCCAGGCAGCCTCTCACTTACAGTGCATGTGGGTGGTATTACCTTGGGCAGGCGTTGGAGCCGCTCCATCAGTGTGGGTGAACTGGCTTATTCTTACGCGGCTGGCTCTTTCTCTCCTGCAGGTGGGATCTCACAGACTTTCGATTTACGAGGAGTGGGACCCCTTCCGATTTCGCCACATGATCCCCACTGAAGCCCTGCAGGTCCGAGCTTTGGCAAGTGCAGGTAAACTGATGACACGTGCTGGCTTCTCCGTCCTTGGGTGTGTGATGGCTGTGTCCACAATTTTGGTCTGCTGTGCCTTCTCTTTTCTTATATGCTTAACTCTTTTCCCTCGATTTCTCCCATTACCTCTTAAATACCCAGCCATCTGTAAAATATTGAAGGGATCAGTGAACCAAGGAAATGAATGGGTAATATCTTCAAAATTGCTCCAAGGAATTACGGTCATTATGTTATGTTTAATAACATTACAGGGACTAAAATATGAGTAGCAATGAGCCTTGTACTTCTACAAATCCTTGAAACTATGAACAAAATCCCAGGTAAATTGTTCACTTGCCTTTCAACTGAGGGACTGAAAAGTTGACCAAAGGTATGAAAAAGCCATTGAATACACAATTCTTTGCCCGAAGTATCTATCATACATCTTTATCTTTGTTGTCAGTGGAAGGCATTGGAAATATTACTTCTTTTTGGTGATCCAAATAGTAAAGGGAGTTGTTGGATAGCACGGTATATACTTGTAATGTAGTTAGACGAGGCATCAGGCACATGAGCAGTAAGCTTTAGCCTGGTATTGACTAAGGCTTGTGATATTTTTGAGACTCAGAGTCCAGGCTATGTCCTACATCTGTGAGAATGGACAGTGGCCCCTCTCAGGCATGCAGTGAAAGGGGCTTTCTCAGGAGTTAGGTGGAAACTTTCCCACTCCCATTGTAAAGCAGATGTAGCAGATGTAGGTAGTGACGAGAAGCCCTGCAAGGGACACTGCAGGTGTATCTCCTTCAGGCTCCTGGCGTCGAATTTGAGTGTTCAGTTTTTCCTGTCTGATTTGTTCTGTGCAGCCTTCTTGTTACCCCTTTGTCACCTCTATAAGCAATAAAAGTGGATCTGGTCCTGACTGAACCAGCTAGTCTGGTATCATCTCTTGCAAAATTTGATACATTTCAGTCAGTTCCCCATTTTGAACTAGATTTATCTTCCTTCACAGTGGTCCCTTGCAGTAGGAAAGGCCAAATGCAAAACCACACAGGTCAAGTGTGCATGAGAGGATTAAGGTTTGTTCTGAGCTTCCAGCACAGTGATTTATCACGATGCCTTTTCAGTTATGATGTGACTTTTGCAAACTTTACTTGCGGGTGACTTTACGGGAAGCTGTGGACTGTGGGTCTACGAAACTGCAATGATGCTTTGAGGTTTAGCCACTTAAATACTAGTATTGTTTTAATGTGGAATCTTAGCTTATAAGTTACTATCTAGCTCATGTATTTCCCATACCAAGTTTATGAATGGGGAAGCTTTATGTCTATAGCAAGTTACAGGCTTCCTAGCTAGGAATTTTGCCTCATGAAGGACGAAGACTTTACATGTAGGAAACAAAGCTATCTTTGTGATTTGACATTTCGTTCTCACCCTCTGCTTTTCATTCAAATCAGGTTTAAAACTATCAAGCCTATTTCAGTTGCTATCAGAACTAATCAAAGTGTTCCTCGTTATGAAGTGCATTCCAGTAGATCTCAGAATCGGAGGGTGGAATTTCATGATTTTTATCTTAAGTTTGGGGAAGTTCATGAAACTTCTTGCAAGTGGATTCCATTTGAGATAAAATAACGTAGCCACGATGAGGGTTTGTAACCAAGGTTGTTTCCACTGGGTAGAATGAGGCTTGTCACAGTGGGCAGCTCTAAAGACTGCAGTGAATTGTTCCATCACAGCACTTCATTCATAGTTACAGTAATACAGTGGTGTTAGCATCACAATGTGTAGATATTACAGTTGGCCCTGAATCCACAAGTTCTGCATCCATGAATTAATCAGCTGTGAATAGGAAATATTTGGGAAAAACTTGCATCTGTACAGAACATGTACACACTTGTTTTTCTTGTCATGATTCTCTAAACAATATAATACAACAACAGTTGATATAGCACATTGCATTAGGTATTACAGTAACCTAGAGATGATTTCAAATATATAGAAGCATGCATGCATGTTATATACAAATGCTATACCACCAAGGGACTTTAGCATCCTTATATTTGAATGCCCATGGGAGTTCTAGAACCATTATCAATGAGAGATCAAGGCTCACTGTGCTTTGAAACATGTACAGCTGTTCTTTACCTTCTTAGCATGTCTTTGGTGGGCCTTTGGCAAGGCTGGGGAAGAGGAGCCCCGTTCTGTCTCCAGCGGGCATGGGACCTGCTGAGCAGGCATGGGACCTGCTGCCTTGTATCACTGGCATGATGGAATATGCAGTAGAATCTTGGGCACTGATCGATCCAACTGTTTTCAAAAGAACTAATCACTTAACTGAGACAGTTTGACCAAACTAGCTGCACAGAGAAGAGTAGGTTCCTCAATCAGTGTGATTGATTGAAGGACCCTTTAGACCATCGAGAAGGAGATTTCTGCACTTGGTAGTTTTCCAAGCTTTTTTCCCCCTACCATAGCATATTAAGCTTCCAGTCTCTTCATCTCTTTAGACCACAGGATAGGAGTGAAGCATTTCTGGTCCTGTGCTGTTCTGCACTATCACATACGACAGCAAAGTGTGACAATGTTTTATTATAAACCTGTAAATGACTCCACTTGAAACACACCCTTTCGTGTCCTTGTTTTAACTTAATATAGATGCAGAGGCAAATGCTGTGTGTGAAATTGTCCACGTGAAATCAGAATCTGAAGGGAGGCCGGAGAGGGTCTTCCACCTGTGCTGCAGGTAAGCCTTGTTCGGCGGGGTTGAGGCCGTCCAGTCCAGAGACCCCTGACTCCCAACACACACACACACACACACACACACACACACACACACACACACACACACATACACATTCCACATGTGGTTTGACCATCTGTTGAAGGAGTTCTAGTTGCGATTATTTCTGTTAAAGTGCAGCAAGCCTGTCTCTAGAGATGCCACCATACTTGTCATCAGCAGGAGTATCAGATGACACTAATGTGGGTAAAAATACTGACAGTGCAACAAGAAAAATAACTCTTACCTAGGTGGTTCTTTTTTCACCGTGAGAATTAGGGCATTGGAAGATTTTCCAGTTAAGAATGGAGCCCTAATACTGTTGAAATGATCACGGGAGGACGAGGCATCTAACAGGAAGGAGGCTAATTTTGGAGGAAACGTAAGAAATTGGAATATCAGTCTTTGGATGCTTGGCAGAGCTGCAAGAATCTTGTAATTCATTTTTCCTCAGAAACATTTTAGGATCTGAGATTGTACCTTGGGGGCCAAGGGCAGAATTTGTCAGCTTCCTGGAGGAAAGTCCTGCTGCCCATCGGTCTATTCACTAATGAGATTCTCTGTCTCAAACTGGCTACAGAAGATGAGTCCTAAAGCTGGGGGGCAGCAGTGTGCCTTCTCATTAGCAGCTATGAGAAGGGGTGCTATGTAGAAGAAGCGTCACCTTACAGTGTTGTGTCACCTTACAGCATTGTGTCTTAGTATTTGTGTGATCGGGGATGTTTGTTTGGCTGTACCAGAGGCTATGAGATGTTTCCCATCCATGAAAGTACCATTTCCCTGACACTTATAAATCTTTTCTTAGCTCTCCAGAGAGCCGGAAGGATTTCCTGAAGGCCGTGCATTCAATCCTGCGAGATAAGCACCGAAGACAGCTCCTCAAAACCGAAAGCCTCCCCTCGTCCCAGCAGTATGTCCCCTTTGGAGGAAAAAGATTATGTGCGCTGAAAGGCGCCAGGCCAGCCATGAGCAGGGCAGGTACTGTGGGGATTCAGACGTTCAAGATCCCCGTTACCCCCACTCCACTGTAGGACACCAGGGAGCTCGACGTCTTTGTTGAGCAGGAGTTAGATGTGGCCCTGGGAGGCTAACACGGGAGTACCTTCCTCCCTGGTGTGGGGTTCCTTGCCCTTGCTGCTTCCCTGGGGCTCTGCCCTTCCTTCACTCCTCTTGCCTTTCTCCCTCAAGTCTTCCCTTCGCTGCCCTCTCCTTCTGGCTGGTGAGCGCCTCTCATTTGCTGAGCCAGCAAGCGAATGCATCCTCTTTCTGGAGGGGCTGTCTTAGCACCCTTGTGGAATAACAGTCGCTGCTTTGCATGGCGGCCAGCTTTGTTCAGCAAAAAGCAGTGTGCCATATCTCAGCAAGGTCAGAGCCCACTGTTCTGGGAACCTGGCAGCTTTGTAATCTGGCAGCACACCAATGCCTAGTCTCAGGGGTCTGGGTTTAGTAGGCCAGATGACAGGTCAAGATGGTGGCCCCCGCCTCGTGCCTGCAACTTTATTTTTATCTCAGCGTTAATTTGGGGAAGCCTTCCACTGCTCCTGGAAAGAGAGACATCTAGCACTAAAAAGGTCCCAGAGTAAACACACGTGCAGGATTTACCCGCATCTCTCCGGAGCAGGGAGGAAAGATCAATCCTATCACCCATAAATGGCAGTCGCAGGACAGATAGGATGAGGAACAATATTTCTCTAACACTGAGAGTACTGAATGATGTCAGTATAGTCACATTTTAATCACTGCTGTCCTAAGTGAGGCAGCTGAGAATTTTGCAGGCAGGATTCCAGGGAAAGAGGGTTCCTTTGCAGCTGCCAAACCCCCACTTCTTAACCATTCCCCAACTATCTTTCCACCAGTTCTCAGTGGCATTGAAGAGACATGGATAGAACCATAAATGGTTGAAGGTCTTTTCATTGGCATAACATCCCTAGCTAGACATGGGCTATTACATGTTTAAAGCACCTTACGTTTATTTGGGGGGAGCATAATATCCTCTCTAATTTGATAATTGAAAACCTAGTGCAATACTCCCAGCAGTATGCTGGTATTGTAAAAGTCCCACATGCATCTGTTTCCATACTTTCTAAGATGGTTCTCAAATAAGGACAGTTCCTTGACCTTTCCAGCTCTCTGGAGACTTTTACCTTGGAAGTGTTTTCCCTGTTTCTTCCACTTGCTGGCGAATGTTTACTTGGGACTGTGTGTTCCAACCTCAGGGAACTTGCCTGTCAATGACCAGTTTTAAGTTGTTAATCAATGAACCTAAATTCTGAGCTGCATTTGCTTCAAAGCCAATCAGGTTTAGTCTGTAGGATACACAGAAGTTTCCCTGCCCACAGAGACCTTTCTGGAAAGAAAATAAAACCAATCCACAGCCTAGAATCTAGGTCCTAGATCACTGTCATGAATACCAAGGGAAAGTCATAGATTGTTGGATTTGACTGACTGAAAGATGTTTCTGATGGCTCATTTTTGACTGAAGAAAGTATCACTCTGTTTTCGCAATAGTTCACTCTCATCAGAATTTTCACAGCTGATGATCTTTAAAAGGATGTTTTAATGGATCATCCCAGTACTCGTTTACCAGTGAACACTAGAAATACTCAAAGATTATCTCCGTGGAAGACTGGAGGAAACCCCTAATGTTAACTGGATTATTAAGCATCCTTTTAATAAAAGACACTCATGCGACATTCTTGGCTGTCGTTGGCAGGCAGTTTATCACTCCCTCTCTTCTGTTTGGATAGGATAATAAAGTCAAATATCTTGGCTCTCTACTTAGTCTAGGAGTAGTATAATTCTGCCAGTGACCAAATTAAAAATGTCCTGGTCTACCATTTTCTTAGGGAAATTCTGAGACTTAAAATGAGGGGGTGGGAGGAGTTCAGAGCCCCCATTGGCAGTCTCTGATGACTGTTTTTCTCTATTTCCTCTCACCTGCAGTGTGTCATCCACCAGCTCATCCTCTATACATCTCAAAGATTCAGACATAGGCTTCCTTTGCCTCTAAATGCTTTAGCCTGCAAATCATTCACAGATGTTTCCATTAGTCCTAATTTGAGTTCAGGGTAGTTCTATTGTAGTGGTTAAAGAGCATCAGGCTCCACGATGGTGGCCTCAAAGTAAAGCTGAGTAACAACTTTTGCTTCTTCCCAGTGGAGAAGTAATTTTTTTTTCCTTTTCCATCTTGCCTGGAAGTGGTTTTCATTCCCCTCTGAACAAGAGAGGTGACTCTCTGCACCATCATCTTTGTTTGGAGATGAGGCAGCGCTCGGAGCAAAAGGGGTACCCTGTGGGGACCGAGCTCGGCCACCACTGAGCACCCTGACCTGTGCCTGCTGCGTTTGAAGCTGAGGCTTGCCTGTGGCTGGGTTGCGGGCAGGAATCTTCTAGCAGCCCTGGAACTGTGCAGCAGCGTTTAGGACTTAGGCTCCAGGAGAGCAGCTCCTCCCTGGAGTCCGGGTATTTCCCCTCATTGGGGAGCCAGGGTTGTCTTTCACATTTTTGTGTGTGATGCAACAAGCACATCACTATCAAGGCAGAAGCAGCAGCACTTCCATGTGTGTGTGTGTGTGTGTGCTGGGAGTGTTTTATTTCTGGCTTGACTGAGTGTGTCTTTTGTTTGCTTGTTTTTAGTAATTCTGGCTTCCCTAGAGGGCAGTAAGAATGAATCCAAAGATCTGTTATGCAACGATTTGTTTCAGTCATCGTATTATATCCCTTTGGTGATCAACTAACTGCTTGAGTGTCATCTCTTATTTATTTCTGGCACTCGGGTTGTGGTATTTGAATTGCACTATGGAAGTGTGGGTGACTCCCAGAATGTATTTAGCAGAGATAAGGCTCACAGGGCTTAGCCTCACAGTTCAGATGGGACTTGGTCCGCAAGGGGACTGGGAACTAAAGGATGACTCCAGGTCTCTGAAGCTTCTCTTTTCCATGTGCCAAAAGGGATATGATCCTCCTCTTAATCCACCCGTATTTCCTTTAATTCCCAGAAAGCAGTGACACCGACCCCTGCTAGTCTCTTTGGTACATTTCAGTGGAGTCCACAAAAAGCAGAACCCTAGAACCGTCATTCGCCTTTCGAAAGGACTGTGCTCCACCTGAATGACTCTGAGACAGCCCCAGGAGATCTTGGTGGCTCTGTGCTATGGGGCAAGGTCAGGGTAAAAACACTCAGTCCCAAGGCCAGTGCTCTACTGGAGAGCAGCGTCCTCGGTGATACCTGTGTCCAGGGTACTCAGGGTGGAGTCATCACTTCAGAGAGAGTCGGGTGCCCTTTCCCCACAGTCCGCAACCTCTCCCATGCCGCCCTGTCCCCCTTTGCTCTTGGGTCACTTGCTGTAGCCCCCTCAAAGTCCAGATGCCAAGGCACCAAATGCATCCCATTGAGTTTCTATGTTCCTTTTCATTGCTTTCTGGATATTCCTCTCATGGTAAAGCCTGTGGGGGTTTATTTTTATATTTTTGTGTGTGTGTGCAGTGTCTGCCCCAAGCAAGTCTCTTGGGAGGAGGAGGCGGCGACTGGCCCGAAACAGGTTTACCATTGATTCCGATGCGGTCTCCGCCGGCAGCCCGGAGAAAGAGCCCCAGCAGCCCCCTGGTGGCGGGGACACTGACCAGTGGGTAGAGGAACAGTTTGATCTTGCTCAGTATGAGGAGCAAGATGACATCAAGGAGACCGACATCCTCAGTGACGATGATGAGTTCTGTGAGTCGGTGAAGGGCGCCTCAGTGGACACAGACCTGCAGGAGCGGCTTCAGGCCGCCTCCATCAGTCACCGAGAAAGAGGCCGGAAAAGCCTGGATAGTCACGCGTCCCGCATGGCACAGCTCAAGAAGCAAGCTGCCCTGTCGGGCATCAATGGTGGCCTGGAGAGCACGAGCGAGGAGGTCATTTGGGTTAGGCGTGAAGACTTTGGCCCCTCCCGGAAGCTGAACACGGAGATCTGACTGTGTCACGTCCCCTTAGAGAATGTGTGTAGATGCTTCTCCCCACCCGGCCCTCCTCTCTCTACAGCCCTCCAGTGCCGTCCGCGAGAATGTCCCCTTAGGTCACACTCCTTGCACAACGCGCACACACACACATGCAGTGCTGGCGGCTGACCCGGTTCTGAAGTCACATGGCCATCACCCACCACCCACCATCACCAGAAAGAATTGTTCAGGGTCCCAAATGAATCTGAGTCCTCTGTTCTGTATATGACCAAGGGCTTTTATTTATTCTCCTTCATCAGGGCCTGAAGAATTAGAGGGAAAAAAAAAAGAACTTGCAGCACTGGAAAACAAATCCCCCCCCAGCAGTGGAAGTAAGTACGGAATTTAAGGTGTAGCACACCTACAAAAGCCAGTACCCGGCTCCTCCAACCACAGCTGGGAAGCCCACTTTCGAACAGTGAAATGAACCAGGAAACAGACAAGACAACTGTACAGCTTCCCTCTTCAGTGTCTGAGGATATCTGTGTATTTTAAGAATGTGTGAGGAGAGGGTGGCCCTTGATGTTTGGTGAGCTTTTTCATTTTCCTTCCCTTCTGTTTTGGTCTGTGGATGGTCTAACTGTGTCAGTGTTTGGAAGCTCTAGTTTTGCATAGAATTATAAAGATGCCAAACTCTTAGAAAAGAGATCCAAATTTATCATTTGAGAGAGAGAGAAAGAGAAAAACACTATTTTTTGTATTTTACTTGAGATGCAGGGGCACAAATAGATGAGAATTTTACAGTGTTAGGCGTAACTCTGAAGTCTAAAAGTGAGCATATAATCTTTTACAGAGAGAGTGAGGCATGGTGACTTTATATTTATATATGAAAGGTCAACAAGAATGCTAAGGATAAACTTTTTTTTTGCCAAGAAGCATATATTTTTTTGTTTTTGTTTTTGAATGTTGGAATCTCAATCTGAGATGGGAGTTTGGTCGGATTACCCTTGCCAGGGAATGGATAGTGTGTGTGTCTGTTGCATAAGGGGGGCGGCTCCTTTTCATGGGGTTGCCATGGTGATCATTGGGTTTCTCATCAAAATTCCATCTTCATCCATAGATTGCCTACCCCTCCCCTGACAGTTCATAAAACCTTTGAGCCAAACGACCTCTTCTGAAACATCTATTATGTTTGACACTTCCTTCCACACCAACGAAACAGGGTAATCATGTCAGTAAACCTAACGTTCAAAACAGATATCCAAATAGGAAGAACAAAAACAACTTATAGCACTTTCAATTTTTTTAAAAGGTTTATAGCGCCCCCACCTTCCCATTTCACAATGTCTACTTCCTAAGAAGGGTTTAAATAATAAGAAAACTTTCTTTTTTGGGGAAAATATCTATTTGGTGTTTGACACATCAGTAGGTACTTTAAAGACCTGAATTTTATAGTAGCTTTAGGAGTTATATTTTATAAGAATCAGTTATGACTTTATATTTCCAGACAATAGAGAGTTCAGAACATCATGCTCTGTGTCCCTGCTTGCTTTCCCTATTTTCCGTCCCCTGTCCCTTCCCTTTCGGGTTTCCAGGGCTTTGAGCTTGATCTTTTGAAAGTTTTATTCTATTAAATTTTTGCTATATCTTCTGGTTTTCTTAAAAAAAAAAAAAAAAAAAAGCTTTAGAATGGTTTCTATACCCTTTGTATCACTGCATCCTTGTCCCGGATCATCTCGGGTTTGATTGGGTCTTGATGGAAAAGCCGAAGCAGAGGTGTGAAATAGTGGCGATGTACCGGTCTCCCTGCAGCGTGTGTCCATCGAAAATACTGGAAAGTCTGGTGCTTGGAGAAGTGCCATTTTTTCTCTTGTACATAAGGTCATGACGTGTCTATGTCAAAAGTTCTTATATATTTCTTTTATAAGCTGAAAGAAGGTCTATTTTTATGTTTTTAGGTCTACGAATGGAACGTTGTAAATGCCTGTCAAACAATAAAGATATGAAAAAGTACCCAGATGGTCCTGAGCCTTTTTTTGGGTAGGGGGATGAGTATGAATTGTGTTGTTGGAAAGTCCATGGGAGGAAATTCCTGAGAATCTCTTTCTCAAAAGTAATTGTTAATGATTGTCAAGGAAAGCTGTTTTGTTATTGGTTGAAGTTTTAAGCAAAAACAGGCACTACAATCGCTCTGTCTCTTGGTCTAAAAACTTGGAGACTAGAGATTACCAAAGAGACACATTTGTTACCTACCGCATTTATCTCTTAATGTCTCTGGGACATTGGTTCCAGGACCCTGAGGATACCAAAATCTGAAGACTCTCAAGACTTGTATAAAATGGTGTGATATTGGCCCACACCCTTTCTATCACCTTTAGATTACTTACAATACCCAGTGCAGTATAAACGCTGTTATACTGTTACACTGTGTTAAGTCTGCATGGGTTCGAGCCCCACTCTAGGTACCAAAATCTGTCTTGGTAACTTTTCTCCCACTGCTGGGCAAAAATACCAGACATCCTAAATGAAGGAAGGAAAAGTTTATTTAGCTCACTGTTGTTGGGAGGTTTTAGTCCATAATCAACTGGCTCCAAGGCAGGGTGGCAGGGCACTGGGACAACGCTTCAAGGTGGCAACCAGCAAAAGCAGCCAGAGCAAAATGGAGAAAACAATCCTCTTTTCCTCCCTTGTATTGTATGCAGGCCACCCCTCCCCTCAGGGCAGGTATAGCGCTTACAAAATCTCTGTGCCCTCCTCTTGCGCAGGATGAGAATATTTACAGAGTAAGAAACCTGGCTTTCTGCTCAGTCTCCTAGGTAAACTTCTGAAATAGTCAAGTTGGCACAATGTATCAACCATAACATTTAGGGAGTAATGACAGGGAAGTCTGTACATTTTTGGTAAAGACAGTATTCTTCCCCAAAGGGTGGGTGGAATCTGTATTCCGTTTCCCATCTCACCCTCTCCAGTGGGAGCAGGTGGAGGGGAACCCTGGAGATGCGCTGTGAGTGACAACCGGTGCTAAGCCCTGGGTGAGGACGATCTTGGAGCCCTCCATGTGTCCTTAACCAGGGAGCTGCTGCCTGAGTCTTTAACAGGACCACTGAAGAAAGGTAAATGTGGGCTTTGGCTGCTTTTCCCTTCTTGGGTCTTTTGTAATCCATGGAGTCAAGAGTTCCCTGCCACACCCACCCTCTAGCTGAGATTTCTGCTTTCCTACCTGCCTGGTGACAGGGACAGTTCCTGCTGGCTGGTGAGCCCACTGGGTGGACCCTTACTTCGTGCAGTGTCTGTGAGCTAGAATCACCCACTGCCTGGCCCACACCTGCTCAGCTCGGCCTCCGGGTTAACTGACACCCATGGTGCGCTCATGTTTCAGAAAGGTTAGTTTGATGATTGCACATATTTCAGAGTTGAACAGTGATATGGATGGAGCATGTGATTTTTTGCTTTAAACATATTTAAACATGAGTGCATCCATGTATTTACTCTGAGATATGAAAAGATTTCTTCTGTACCTAGTGCATCTCTTGGGGAGTGACAGAGCTGGTTTAACGCTGACCCCGTGAAATCACCCACTTGGGTGGAGCTGACGGGGTTGCTTGTTTATCCAACAGCCGAGTAAATCATTGTTCAGAGTCAGTGTTAGAGGCATAGTCACAGTGCTCCGCCACCCTAGCATAATCCTGTTTTAGGCTTGTGTCTCACCAGAGGCAGAAAGTATCTCCAGCACAGTAGAGGTCATGGCACCTCCTCCATCCCTGCCTGTTTCCTCCCCTCCTCCATCCCCAACCCAAGGCTGAGGCGGTGAGACCTCAGCTGCCCTGGTGCTGCTGGGAAGCTGGGTCCTGATGTAGCAAGAATGACTGTCACTTCTTTGGCCTTCCATCCTTTGTGTCTGCAGTGAAAGAATTCAGTCGAGACACTTAGGTCTTGCAGTGGTCTTGGTAGAATTGATTGCAAAATAGATTTAGAGAATCACATCTTCAGGGAGAAGGTGGGCAGTGCCAGAATTCGAGTTTGGATCCGTTTTTATGCACCTGAGTTACTCTGGGGTCCTGGAGAACTGGGCTAATAATGATGTTACTCCAGAATTGCAAAAGTTCTTCCTGTCCTGTTTAGATGGTCAGTGTATCCTCATGGGTGCTAATCCTGTAAGAAACGTACAAAAGAGAAGTTCTTAATTTTTTTCAATTTTTATTTATTTTTTTAGTACCCATTTGCAGGACACAATGATTACATTTCTTGTGAGGAATTGGCACATGTATATAATGCATCTTAATTCTTTTTTCATCTCCCTCTCCTCCCCTTCCACCCTGTCCTTCTCTGTGCTGGTCTCCTTCCCTTTTGCAGAAGTTCTAGGTCTCTATTTCCTGTGAAATTTTATCTTTAATTATGATATTATGAAATATGAATCTTTAATTTGTTCTTCATTGGTATTGGGGAGTTTCTCATATAAGAGAAACCTTGTGATATTTAAAC